AGGAAGAGGGGGAGGGGGAGGGGGAGATTCGGAGCTTGGAAGTGGGCACCAGCTCATAAATCACGAATTTGAGGGGCATCAATTCCCGACCTCGGAAGCCGGGAGTCACATGTCTGCCGTGCCGGAAGTTTTAGCGAAAGGACCCAAGGAAGTTGACGCGTTATTGACTCCCGAGCCACCCTCCTCGCCCCGTCATTACGCGCCCGGGTCCCATTTTTTATTGCTCATTTTTGTTTTCTTAATGGTCTATAAGATATTAATGACCCTGCTTTTTTATCTTTTTGATTCTTTTTAAATTGTTCCGAGTCCCCTCGCGCGCGCCGCCCCCGCCTCCCCGGCCCGAAACCCACCCTTCCCCGACCCGGCCGCGGGTCCCACCCCTCGGGCCCGTCGAACTGTTTGCTCTAAGTTTCTAATTCCTGTCGTTTTTCATGCGCCACTAGTTTCCTTGCAACAAATTAATAATGAAGACATCCAAACAAAGCGCGCTTTGCTGCCGGGCTTTATTACACCGTGTCGAGATGCCCCATGTTGCCAGATCTCAAACTCGCTTCTCAGGATCCCCCGGTGGCATTTTTCACGGAAAAAAGGAAATTGCTGTTTTAACAATTTTCCGGATAAAATTAGTGTCCGGCATGTTTTAATGCAGATTTTACAATAGTAGTACTCTCTTAGTTTAACCACCCCCGTGGTTAAATTAGCTTTCCACTATTGTAAAATGTACATTTGAAACATGTCGGACATTTTTTTAAACAATTTAATTGTTAAATCAGCAATCCATTGTTTTTCAGTGTTCAAAGGAATAGTCGCGATATTTGAAATTAAGTTGCAATTTTTACGATGTTTTGGCGATAAAATCGCTAGGATCATCAACATTTAAGCGATCATCCTCTACTTTATTTTTATCTTAATTTTATCTATAAAATCACATTCGATAAAATCGAAATTTTATCTGAATTCATCACGATTTTTCGTTCAATAATATTGCAGTACATTCCTGTCGATAAAATTGCGATTGTGTTGCAAATTTATGTGATGAAATCGCAATTTTTTATCAAATAATATTGCAATGTATCGCAGGGCCGGATTTTCCTACTTGCCGCCCATAGGCCGCCTGTATTTTGCTGCCCCCTTCTCATTCGTTTTGAAATATCAGTAAAAACCATCAAGTGAACGTGCCAGCGGGGGAGGGGTGCATAAGACGCGTTTACTCGTGTTGAATACATTTTTTGCGAAAGCCCTGTCAACACTACTAGCAAAAGGTCACGGAGCTTTGCGCGAAAGTCAAGTTTCGTAAACCTATCTCTAATGGACAAGGCCTTCCATTCATAAGAAATTAACGGAAAAATTATGGAAGAGCAAATTCAAAAGGTTTAATGATTTTCACTTCCGTCGCCGCGCCGCGCAGACCGCACATTGTTTGGCGCAATGCGTGAGGTATTCATGCATTCTTGTCGGCGCTATCCGTTCCACGCTGACCACAATAACCGCACTGTGTTTGATGCATGCGTGAAGTACTCGTGCAGTCTTGTAGGCGCTAATATTTGTTACATGCCGATTGCCGCGCCGAGGACTTCTCCTTTTTATCTCAAGTCCTCGTCATCATTTCTCCTTAAGTCGCGCCGTACCAGGTCAAATTGCGTGTTTGGTTTCTCTCTTACCTCGACTAATTGAAGATGCTGCCTCTTATCACTGAAAAACGACAAAATTAGAAATTACTATTCTCTCAGGGAATGAGATATTTTGTCGCCTTTTCTCGTTGGTAATTTTTTTTTCTAAATCCGATTTTTTTTAATACCTACACATTTAAAAAAATTGCAAAATTTGCCGCCCCCTAGATTTGCCGCCATGGGCCGCGGCCCATGTGGCCACCCCTTTAATCCGGCCCTGATGTATCGGCGTCTATAAAATCGCGATACATTTTCCGATTAAATTACAACTTATCGCCATCACTACTACTTGGGTCGAAGGTAGCACTATAGTCGTTCATTGAACAGCTACTCTCCTTAGGAAAGCTTCGTTCGGTATAAATTGTCCTGGAAGGTGTCTTAAGACGTCTTTAACACAGCAGCATGAAAATTACATTTTTTACAGGCCTATGAAGTAAAATTTAACCGGGTGACTTCGGAAATGCATGGATCATTGCAAGTGATAAAAATGATTTGTCGTTCCAAAAAATACAAAATACGAAGGAAAAAATTCTATACAATCATAACAAACTTTGCCAACTTTGTAACTTTGTCACTTGTAACGAACTTTGCAAACTTGATAATTTGCGTGAAACATTGCAAGGACATGAAATACCCACGGCATTCTCCAAATGGAAACGGTTCAACAGCTACCTATGCTGATTCTGCTCTGATCATGGGTCAGGTTCACAATATTAAACAAAAATCGAGTTAAAAGATCCGACAATGTGAACATTTAATTGTTCGTTCATGAACACCTCCTAAACATAAAATTCGGTGACAACGATTAAACTTTCATGTATCGGCACAGTGCCGATGAATAACAACACCTTAACACAGACAAAATAATATAATTCTTATTCAAATCCTCTATAGTTTTCGGTTAGGATTTTTATCGTGCTTTCACATTGTTTGTCATCGATACACTTTTGAAGGGTGCATTTATTACTTTAGCAAAAATAAACGGTGAGATGAATATGATTTTAGGATGATGTGTTGTCCACGCATCTTGTCCAGAGCTCACTATTAAAATTGCGGAAGTGACAATCTCCATTTAACGCAATCATTGAGACTCGAGTATTTTTTATAGACAACCCGAAGTGACCAACCGGGCATTAATGAAAGCTCCCTAACGCACGCTAAAACTCTTCTTATTTCCCCGTGCGTCGAGCTGAGAAAATCAAATTCACTCATTCCGTATGTATGAGCCTTCGTTTTTCCCCTTTCCCCTTTTCTTTTTTATTTTTCTATTATTTATTATTTTTCCGAAATTAATGCGTACACGAAGGATAGGCGTGAATAATTCAGCGCTTTACACGGCCGGTAAGCCATGGGGCAGAAAAGTGAAATTTGTCTCGCATGAATAAAATGAATAAAATATTGTGGAGACTCGAAGATATCGGGCTATAGCAGGCCGATCAGAGCGAAAGGCGTATGGCATATGGTGATGGGATATCCATCAATTTGAAAGTTGGGCAATATTTTAATATTCAACCAGGCATTGTTGTCTGCCTGTGACTTAGAATTTGTTTCCTAGATCGACTGTCTATTTTTAAAAAGGCCCAAACGGGGATCAAAAACAATTTTTTTTTGACTGACAGCCTCTCTGGTGTTGTTTGAATTTGGGACTCCAATGAATACGGAAATCCGTCCTGGGTATCAATTATTCAGGGGCCGAAAATAGGACTTACAATAAGGCACTAATACCACGCAACAAGTTAGCTCATTTACCACACATTTATGCTGAAAATTCGGACAAAATCAAGTGATCAATTTTTAGGTAAAATCAAATAAAGTAAGCAATGTTAAACAAAGAAATAATAAAAATCAGTAGATGAGGCGGGTTCACTAAAAACAACCAAAACCAACTATTTTATATATATAAAATAACATATTTCATGTATAATCTAATTACACAATAAAACTATTTACTTTACTAAATATTTAACGTTCGAAACGATTCAATCGAAAGGGTGATATTCCCGTCCAGTTACGACCAATGAAAAGGAAATATTTTTTTATGTATGATAAAGAATTCGCTTCACATGAATTTAAAGAGACGTGATGGAGGCAGTCCTTTTCAACGCCCACTTTACATTGATTGAAAAAAGCAAGTAACTAAAACCTGGTTGTTTGAATGATTTGGTAGTATCATCAGGAAGTAATGACTATTCCGAATGAACAAAGGATACAGTGCTCGTCATTCATACTCTCCGTCGCTCCATGGAAAAGCAAGAGAAAGAACACGTTGACGTTTATTTGTGTTTGGCTGTGTGCTTAGAGGTATCACACAGAAATGAAGGCGATTTTAGGGTCACGTAATAACGCTGACACATGATACAATTGCGTGTATCGCGTGGACCCTCGATATTTTACAACACACAGTGGAAACTCTCAAGATTGGTAACACTGTTTCACTCCCATTTAAATGTATTAGAAATACATCATTTTTTACATAACATACATACATTTTTTTCCTACATTTTTTTTCATTGATATATTCTCCTTTTTTTAATTTCTCTCCTTTTTATGTATTCCAATATTTATTCTTACTTCTTTTCTTTTTCCAATTTCCTGTATATTTCATTTCAAAATGTACTCTTCCTTTCCTTTTTTTATATTCTTTTGCAATGTTTATTTATTTATTTATTTTTCATGTTTTATACTTCATTAATGTTTCTTATAATTGTGTCTTACTCTAGTTTTTATTTATGTCACTTATGTCATCGTATTTATTTTATATTTTTTTTTCTTTTTTCTTCAACTCGGAACAGGGAACACTTCCGGTATAAGTACATTACTGACGGGCTACAGGCCAAAGTCAGTAATACACACTATCTTGCTTAAAATGAAGAGTAAATTTTATTTTAAAGTAGAATTAAAAAATTAAATTTTAAAGCGATATCGAAAAATTAATCGATATTAAGAAACGACCTGACAATACTTGACGCGCTTATGACAACGGACTTCTGCATTACTTTTTGACTTTTGCATCTGCTTTTTTATATTATTATTATTTTTATTTATTTTTACGTCTGATCCGGCAGAATAATTGGGTATCCCAATTGGCCGGGCAGAATAATGTTGTTTTTTCTCTAATGTTTTACATTTTTAATAAATATATCTCATCTCTTACTTTATCTATTTTAATCGATTCTAAGTGAAAAAACCTACCTCGAAAAATATCGATTGTATCACGTACAACTCCCTCCAACAATCATGCTGCAAGGATCGCTAAGTCTCGTTTCCGCGTTTCCGTTGCCATGACGTAGAGAGAATGTTTACTCGGTTACTCAACAGCGGGAACGCAAGTGCTCGCACCCCTGTGAAAACATTAAAGCCCCTCCAACTCTTTCTTTAGTTTGCTCATCTTTTCTCCCGGTCTGTTACTAATCAAGTGATCCGGAAAATTATGCAAGGACGATTTCTTCTCTCGTGAGGGGACGGTGTCACTCCATCGAGAAACGTTGTGTTAGAGGACGATCCTCAATGTCGCGCTCATTTCGGTGATGGAGAGGCTCGGACAGCTAAAAGTGTGCCGTGAACAAGATTTGTGTCCTCCAAAAAACTGCCATGTCAGACGAAGTAGGTTAGGCGTAATACCTACCTCTGAAGGTTGAGTGTTTCTTCCCTGGTCTGATAAGTGTTTAAGTGTTATGCGAGTATTGATACACCTCGCTGAATCATCTAGAAAATGTGACTCTAGCTGTTGATTCACTCATACTCTTTTGTGGAAAACTCTCTAGATGTCGGTCAGCTTTCGACGCAAAAACAGTTTGTGACAGACATAGTTCGTGTATTGATTCGTTTGGCAACTTTCATCGTTGGAGAGATGATGTTTATTGGAATGCTCCAATCACCGGTCTTTAAAATCATTCATAACTACTCGTGATTAGCAATTGAGGGTTGATTTCGACCGCAATGTCGCAGTTTCAGCGGAGTTTTTCATTTTTATCACCATTAGACTTTTTTTCTTGATTCGCATTTGATATTGTTCTTTCTGTGAGTCTCATCGTCATGCATATTGAGGTAAAACCTGTTTCTAAAGTCATCTTTAGGATTCTTTGTAAAACACGCCCACGATACAATTTGGTGTTGGTCGGAGAGGATTCAGGATCCTTCCTGAGAAAGAAATCTACCTTTTTCGATCTACACGAAAAATAAATAAAAAATGAGAAATGGAGATGAAAAACCAAGATGAGAATAGAAACAGTTACAGTTTTAAAAAATGAACAAATTTTGAAAGCGCGCTTCCAGAATTTTCAAACATTTTTACAAAATAATTTTGTGCTTTAGAGATATTTATTTTTGAAATTTCAACTACTTCCACAGGACGGACGGTTAAATTTACAATTACATTGGTAAACATGATTAACTTTAAATGTGGTTACGGCGGATTTGTGCCAAGAAGAGTACTTAAATCCTTCAACTTATCTCATGAAGCCGTTAAATATTGCAACTCTCCATAATCATGCCCATACCAATGAAGAAATAATGGTCACTCTCTCCAGTGTAAGACAATCCGACCTCTTCCCGATCACTGATTATCACCTGCAAAATGTGACAGTTTTTGCAACTAATGGTCATGCAGCATTTAGTCAATGGTTAATTACATAGAGGCATATATGGCATCATTGCTTTTCAAGCAATTGGACATTTGGAATTTTTAAGTTGCTATCAACCGCAGAAATGTTATCAGAGCTAAATCATACCCGGAGCACCTACATGTACTCAAGCTTACCCCGCAAACTGAAAATGAATTGGAGAGGCCCGTTCAGCGTTCCAGAGTAAGATTTTTTGATATTATCTCAACTATGCATGATCTTGTTTTTCACAAGCATAGTCCTACTTATTTAGCAAACCCTGTAGCTGTATAAAATTTCCAATTTTACGTCATGACATTTAAATCTTATTCTGAAAAACAGTAATTATAAATTGAAATAGTTCTGCAGAGAGTGTAATATTGTCCAATCTTGAGAAGCACGAATCTCAATTTGCTACGTCGCGTCGGAGACTTTTCCTTAAATTGCATGTTTTACTTTTACAACGGCCATAATTTCTTAAAAATTTTCGTGATTCATGTTCAATTTTTGAAGGACGTTTCGAGAATGTCAAGAAGTTGGATTGATTTTCCTTTAAATAAATAATATAAGAATGACAATTTTGAAAAATTTGAATCAAGGTACATGATCACCAAATGATTACCATGAATGAATTTACCCATGACATGTTTCACCACCAAATTAATTTTTACAAATTAAGATAACCACAAAATTAATTTTTACAAATTAAGATAACCACAAAATTAATTTTTACAAATTAAGATAACCACAAAATTAATTTTTACAAATTAAGATAACCACAAAATTTGAGGGAAAAAATTCAAAAATGAACAACTCAAAAGACTAGAAAAATGCCCATTCGTAAATATTTACGCATGGACAGATACGCAACATCTAACACGTAAAAATCTATATTTGGTACGAAGCATCAATAATTATAACGGGGGCAGAGTATGCTTTAAAAAGAAAAAGTGAAAACGAGATAACTACGTCACAGCTTATAAAGGTTATTTTTCCGTTCGCAACGAACACCTTAATAATCGATTCTTTACCAATCCTCCGAATGGAAAAATATTGATAATCGATCAGTCACTCCTTGACACTGAAACTATTCACTTCAAAAGCTTCTAACATCGTTGATAATGCAAATTATGGCTAGTAACTTTGATCCAGGGTTCTTGAAAGTATCATAAAGCGTTAGGCATTAAAATTGAAAATAGATATTTTCGACCCCGAGGGGGTTTCTTCGATGCACCGAGAAATTTGAATTTCCACCTTCAGACATATTTTACTCCGCTGCGTTACGATTACCATTTACGATTATTCTGAAAAAGAGAAATGAGTGGTTTCAGAAACCGAGTGCAAAATGTTTGACTTTCTACATTTTTACTTTATGATCCTGACAGGTATGAGGCATGTTCACGTAACACAGATTTGGATCCACTGAATGTCACGTTTTGAATTTAAGTGGTTAATAATAATGACCGCTCGGTCATAAACAACACGCACGATCCAATTCGCGTCATAATTTGCGTCATAGGAAAAAACACTATTGCGTCAAAATCTACGGTCCACGTCTTGACGTTGGATATTTCCTGTCAAAAGAGAAGTGATGATCTTCCTTTCTTTTAAGCGGCGTGTGCGACCGAAATCGCAGATAAATGTATTCCCTGTCGCAGCTCGGTTTTTTCATGCCATATTTGGACGTATTTACGCTAAAAGGAACTATGTGCAGAGGGTTTGTGTGAGACATAGTTTCTTTTAGCATAAATACGTTCATTTGTTGATGGAGCAGTGACGTTAGTGCCGTGTACGCGGCCGAGAGTCAGAGTCCAGCGGGCCGATTATTGAAATTTATAGACAAAGCTATAGACAAAGAAGACATAGGGGTTATGGAGCGATCCTATTGGTTGAAATGTGTGGTTCTCATAGACTAAGGGAGAAAATGATGGACTAACTGTCAGGTTTCTCGTGGGTTGCCGTTAGTTACTCCATTACCTACCTCCTTTGTCCATTGCCACCACCCGCTTCCACCAATAGGATCCCTCCAAATCCCTTTTGTCGTCTTTGTCTATAGCTTTGTCTATCAGTTTCAATAATCGGCCCGCTGATCGGCAGTGGCGAGGCGTGAATGATCGATTATCGATATTTTCCCATTTGAAGCTATGGTAAAGAATCGATTATAAAGTGGTCAATGCGAATACTCTGTTAATCGATCCTTTTCCATGGGTTTAAATGGCAGAACAATCGATACATCGCAAAGCACTCCACACCACTGGAGTTCGGAATAGCATCTCTTTTAAAGCGACAACGCTTGTTTTCATTTTGAAATGCAGCGCCTTAACCGCCGTGCGAAGGAAGAACGCCATATGGACGTATTTCTACCAAACAGACCTATGTGGAGGTGAGAAATATGGGGTGTGCTCGTTAGTTCTCTGGCCGTAAGAGTGAATGGGAATTATAAAGCGCCAGTGACGTCAGCGGCAATGATCGAGCACTCGAGCGAGGGCGGGAGATCGTCGTCGGGGCGCTTTGACTCATGAGCCCTGTCCACAACGCTCTCTTGCCATGCCCGCGGCTCATGAGTTCCGCATTCAGTTGGCACATAGGTCTCTTTGATAGAATGTAAAATCCCGCTTTTCCAATTCTTCAAAAGGAATCCCACCCACTTTTACATTGCTTCTTGTGCAGCTTTCTAGATCACACCCCATGTTTCTCACGTGCACATAGGTCTGTTTGGTAGAAATACGTCCATATGAACCTTCTGTCGTCGCCAAATTTCCTTTAAGAAAACACAGATTTTGGACGAAACCTATAAATATTTTTCTTCCAATTTTTCAGATGATTTTGTTCGCAATTTCACCTAAAGTTCCTGAAAATTTCAAGGAAAAATATTCATAACTTGCCTCAAGAATAAACGTTTAAGGCAATTAAGCAACTCTCGAATGTTCATACGGCGTTCTTCCTTAGCACGGCGGTAAACCTGTTGGTTTTCACAGAATAAAAGGAACATTCAAGCGTTTCAAGACGAGTTTAATAGGTAGAGCGAAGAACATGCGGTAAATGGCTATTTTATCTCGAGGGTGCAGAGCTGCAGTTTGGGGAGTAAGTAAAGATGCAGTCCCCTCCCATCAGTGACGATGCTTACAAGTTGGCAACACTGTTTACCAATTCACATGTTTGTTGAACGTTCGATTCTAAGCGAGGTAGCCTCACCTAGAATCGATATATTTAATAGACTTAAACGGAGAATTAACAGCGATGCCAACTCGGAGGAATCGCCACTGCCTCCCAATCAACTCAATTCAATTCAATGCTCCTATCCCATTCCCGGAGAATTATTCTGCTGTGTTAGAGAGGAACGCCGTATGATCCTTCAAACGTTGCATGTTTCTATCAAGCAAAAACAAATTTACTTAAAAATTTTTTAATATTTTTCTTCACAATTTTCAAACAAATTTGCTCAGAGTTTACACTAAAATATCAGGACATTTCAAGGAAAAGTATGCATAACTTTCTTCAAAAATACATGTTTTATCCGGTGAAATTTGGCAACTTTCGAATGCCCATACGGCGTTCTCCCTTAGCGCGGTGGTATTCCAGCAACATCGGAACCCGGCGATTAATTTTTCCAGTATCCATAGTTAAGGTAAATTCGGTAATTTAATTTTTTTTACGTTTGTGTATTTATTTTGATTTCAGAGACCACACTGATGAACCTCAACAGCCTTCGCGTAATGTCAATATTATGACGGATAAGAGGGTCGTCAGAGGATCAACCCTCGGGCAGCATACCTTCTTAAGGGTAAGTGGTCGCTCCTATAAATTAGACCACGTCGCCACTAATGAATAAAAACCATTATAAGCTAATTCAAGTAAGATTAACATTCTCTATACATGATACATCTTCCTCATCATGACCAAAGAAAGGAACGATTGATTTGTTCCTGATTTTTCCACCAAACAAGGAATGCCCCCCTTCTCCNATAGTTGTATCATCAGTGCGAAACCTAACTTCCTTAATCTGAAGCTGAATCACAGTGAGCTCGGCTTCTATCGATATTTGTGAAGCGTAATACCAGGTGGTAATTTTCTGACGGAAATTCGAATTCTTGATCACATTTTCAAATCCGAAAACTCAAGATGGCGGACCCGGCCTAAAAAATCATCTTAGCTCCTGATCGACTGATTTTTGAGAATTCTAATGATATGGGGCTTTCATTGACGGGAAAATCAAATTTACCGTCAAATTTTCGAAATTTGGAAATCCAAGATGGCGTAAGTGGCTTAAAATACTAACTTGGCTCCTGTTTCAGCGATGTTTGTGATACTTAGTAAGGAGGGGTATCTTTTGACGGAAAGTTTGAATTTTCAGTGAAATTTTCCGAACGAAAATCAAAGATGGTGGGTGTATTTAAATGGACGCCAAGTTTCTTTGTCCAATAACACCAAAGGCGTCCAAAGGCGTCCAAAGGCGTCCAAAGGCGTGTTGTATCGAAAAACACGTTGCATGACCTCATCCACCGTGCCAAGGCACACAATCGTTTCGTTCCACTTAGGTTCATCCTGCTACTTCTACTTAATTATTTTTTTCTCCTTTATTTCTTTTTTTTACATTGTTCTCTTATAATTTTTTTGTTTCTTATTCCTTTTGTTCTCTTTTTTCAATTTTTTCTCTTTTACTAATTTTGCTTTCTTTTTTATTTTGTTCTCTTTTATTCATTTTGTTCTCTTTTTTTATTTAGTTCCTTTTTTTCTCTCTTTTATTTCTTTCATTATTTTTTTTATTTTGTTCTCTTTTTTACTATTTTCTTTTTTATTTTGTTCTCTTTTTTATTTTGTTCTCTTTGTTTATTTTTTCCTTTTTTATTTATTTCATTCTTTTTTTGCTTTTTTCTCTTTTTTCATTTTTCCTCTTTTATTTCTTTTGTTCTCTTCTTTATTTTTTCACTTGTATTTCTTTTGTTCGCTTTTTTTATTTTTTCCTAAATTTTCCTGCTTGTTTCTTTCTCCTTATTCTCGTATAAATTATTGTTCCTCAGATGCTATGACCAATCATTTTCCCCTCAGGCGAACCCGAAACAGAACGCGAGCCGGCAAACGGAGATCCAGAGACGAGGCCGGGCTCGGAAGCGGGCTGAAGAGTACCAATCTCGGGTACGACTCATCGTGGGCACGCCGCCCCCCGTCCAGGGGAGGCTCCACATGGACGTCCAAACCGATGATTTCCTCGAGGAGATCTTCCTCAACCCCGAGACCGCCTCCACCGCCTCCCAAACGGACCCCTTCGATGAGCTCGAACCGCCCCCCTTCATTCGACCTCCACCGGGCGTCGACGCTGCCACCCAGATACTCCCCGAAGAGGTAAATTAAAAATCTTACACCATTCAGTAGATCTTCAGTAGAGTCTCTTAGCCAAAAACACTGGATTTCCTACATTGAGAAAAACTAGGGTTAAAATTGAACCGCTTTAAGCAGAAAGGAACAAAGTTACATTAACTATTGCCAAAGGACCCTACAACAAAACGGCCAAATCGGCCTAAACTCGGAATCCTACAATTTTCTCAGGGATAAAAGAGGGTCTTTCCGGACACTCAAAACTGGTCTTATTTTTTCCCTAGCCTCCGGGGAAAAGGGGGGAGAGGGGGTCAAAGTCAAAACCTCTAAAGTAGCATAACTTCTCAACAGTACGTCGTAAAAAGATGATATTGGTGTCAAAATTTCCAAAAAAATGAGAGCTATCAGACTAAATGTATGAAATGAATACTATTTCAAAATTTGATCCACTCTCGGGGAAATTATACAAGGTCCCCTTTCGTAAATTTTTGTTCTTCGAAATTTTCGGTCAATTGGTTCGCACGGAGCAAAACAAAAATAATCTTAAATGAAAGTAGAGCGTTTAAGGTTGTTTAAGGTGGTACTACCCCAATATGTTAGATGATATGGACATTTCCACTTCATTATGGTAGAACCGCAACTTAAATCGGGATCGTACCGCAACATTTACTTTAGTGACCTAATTTATTAGGGTGCTACCAAAACTTTTTTAAAATGCCCAAGTTGGATATTTTTTTCACCTCCTCTTTTTTCTCGTGAACATGTTTAAAATGGGAAAAAGAGAGTGGGTGTAAAAGTATTTATGAATCGTAAAAATATAGCTCCTTATATGATATAGGCTAAGATGAGAGGATCATTGAACTGGTTTGATTTTTACATAAAAAAGTGTGATTGACCTGCGTATTGTATAACTAAACAACAGCTACTGCCCGAAAAAAATGAGACCGATGCCCCCTCTCAAATAATAAATTCGATTTTAGCGAAGAGCCTCTGAATAAAATCAGCATTTTACTCCTCAAATACATTTGTTTCTGTTACATTCTACGGATCAACGCTCCGCACTTATTTCCTTCCCTCCGGAGTGCAATCTTTCAAAGTCTCGGCGAACACCGATTATTGGCACCGCGCTTTTAAATGCTCGCTCTCCACTCTGTTCAAACGTTGAAAAATGCGAGAGAAAAAAAGAATCAAACCAAATTAAATCTGATTCCTCGAGCTCGATATTCCAAATGTATTCGCTTGTCTGCGATTTCGCCGTTGTGTATCTCCCCTCTCTTTTTTCTCTCGTTTTTTTAATATCGAAGACAATGTCCCCGCGATTATGAATTATTTCCGGTCAAAGGTCAACAGCCTGGTTCAGAAATTTCAAAGGTGTCGACAGATGGGGTGGGGTTGTGATAAACAAGTTGCGAAAAATACTGGGGATACATACTGACAAGAAAGAAACACAAAAAAAAGCTAAAAAATAGTGTGGACCCAGCGCTATTTAACAACCTTGATACATACTAATAAACATGAAATGTGAGGATCTAAAGCCACTAATGGTGTCAGAGAATAAGAGGGCGGCTACTCAATAGATCGGTAGAATTCTTAGACATTGTATAAATCGATCGGACAGCGTTAAGAAAACTAGCCTTATCAAAGTGGGTTTGAAGGGGGAAAATGTTTAGTGAAGTTACATTGAGTCATGGTTCACTTTTGCATAAATATGTTCATTTGGCCTACATTTTGCAATGAGGAAATTCCATTTTTGGCTCATTTCAGAAACGACATAAGTATCATTACTTTTCCCATGCAGATGGGTGATTCTGCGGATGAGCTGGAGACATTAGTTCCATATTAAAGAATGCAGTTCATTTTTCCGCTGACATTTCTGCCGATGTGATATTGTTGAACTGTTTTAAAGGGAGGCTCTAAAAGCAAAAGGCTCACATTTACAGGAGTTCGCAAGCTATTTTGCGTTCAGGAGTGGATTTTAAACTTATTTGAGGAACTCATCGTGCTTTATAAGAGGTTTTAATATTTAGGGGTCCATTCATTTATCTGAATATCCCTGGTAAAAATTGGCAGTAGAATCTGTGTTCCAAAATACCATAGACCTACAGCCGGCTGTAAGATTTCCAATAGCTACTATAGCCGGCTACACAATTTCTTATAGCCTTTTATAGCCGATGGCGATTAAGCAACAGCCAGGCGATTAAGTGTATGCTAAACGTTACTAATTACGGATGCTAGGACTTAGTGAGTTTTTGGAGTACTGCTCTCCTTTTGGGTCGTAGTATCTTGATTTATTTTGCGAGGAAAGCTCCGTACTTTTGATGGATGCCTACCATTACTAATGTATTACAGCGCCTTCAGTTTCGTATGATACTGTGCAATACCTCTGGTGTGAAATAGTTGCTTCAAGCGCCGTGGCAGGCGGGCAGCCAGCGCGAAACACGCATTGGCGCCTACAAACCTAACTGGGATACTTCACGCGTTGCGCAATGCGTGAAGTATCCCTGTTGGGTTTTTAGGCGCCAGTGCGTCGCCGCTCCGCTTTGTGTTAGGCTCTAATATTTAATCTGGCGGAGTCAGCGTTATTCAACTCATGATTTTGAAATGTTTGCACATCCTGTATGGATTATTCTCATTTTAATTGATGAAAAAAAATATGTATTAAAGGAAAATATAATGTGTGTTTTGTAAATATTAAGGTGATTCCGTATCAAACTTAATGATTTCCAAAGCACACGAATTTCTACACAATTTCTTACAGCCTTTTATAATCGATGGCGAAAAAGCAACAGCCAGGCGATAAAGTGTAAAGCCCGGCGATAGGAACTATAGCTCGGCTGCATAATTTTTTCTCGCTTCGTATAGCCTGGCCGTATGATTTTCTCCGCATTCTACAGCCAGCTATATGGTTTTCTGTAGCCTTCTTTAGCCGGCTATAAGAATTCCTATGGTATTTTGAACCGCAGCTCTTATCGCCAATTTTTACCAGGGATCTCGTGTTCATCAGACCTATTCTGCTTCCTCGAGACTTTCAATCAGAGGATGCAACTGCGCGAGTGTCAATATTCTACTCATCTCGACAGATAATGTAGCCTGGATTAGTTTAGGTCTGATCTCAACAAAAAATAAAGAACCTTCATAGAAAGAGTATGAACATGTCAAAATATGGAGCTCTGAGGGCTAAAAGGGGAGCCAACTTTTTAACACAAAAAACACTAGAAAAATCCGCTGCCAATCTTCAGATTTCAATATCAAACCAAGAGGGCCAAAAATGTGCATAAATGGGCGTCTTTCCACAAAAATGAGTAAATTTATGAAATTATTAAGTCAAATACGTGCTTTACAAACGAAGAGTCGTAACAATTGTTACATGGAACAAATGACTTAGTGCGGAGCCCTAACAGTTTAGATCAAATGGAGCCAGCTGATATGGCAGTACTGCTGAGACCTACAAATTACAATCCGTAGGACTGGACCCTAGGGCTGTAGGACTCAGCACTACTGTCATATCAACTGGCTCCATTTAAGCTAAACAGTTAGGGCTCAGCACCAAGTCATTTTTTCCGTGTTTGATAAATAATTCTGGATTATTGGATTTCGTAGGTTGGCTGCCCTTTTGGACCCTAAAGGCTCCACAATCTAACCTCAAAATTACCGACACATGCTGCCGTGCTAAGAAAAAAAGCCGTATGAGCCATCAGCCGTTGCCAAATTTCCCCTGGCAAATCACCCATTTTCAGGAAAATTTTTGAATGTATGTCTACCAATTTCTCAGATAATTTTGTTCGCAATTTCACCTAAAGTCCCTGAAAATTTCAAGGAAAAATATTTACATCTTCCTCAAAAATAAACATTTTATTGAATGAAATTTGGCACCTCTCGAATGTTCATACGGCGTTCTTCCTTAGCACGGCAGCATACTTTTCCTATATGGGTACTCTAACAATACGTCATTTCATAGCATACAATAAAAAGTGGTGTAGGTCAGTGTTGAAACTAAAGTTCTGGCAAAAGTTTCATACATGGTCGTTTGAAATTCATTCGTAAAGGAGCTGTAGCACCGAGGAGAGACGAGCATTCCAAAAGTAATGCTGCCAGTTTGTGGAGTATTTTCTGAATTCGCCCTATGAAAATTATTAAAAATAGATCGAATTTCACCGTAAAATCGGTAAGCCTGCACAAATACGACGTCTCGGCGCGTGTAGTGACTCTGGCTTAAATATTGAAATGTATTCAAAGGGAAAGGTGACCCAATTGATTCCGCTTAGAGCTTCGGAGAAGTGCTGCATTGATTCATCAAGCATCAATCGAACTCAATCAGACGATCGGACGTCAGGGAAGGAATCGAATAGCGATGTATCGATTGTTATGCCGTTTAAACCTATGGTAGAGAATCGATTATTCAGGTGTTCACTGCAAACACCCTGTTTATCGATCCTTTTCCATAGGTTTAAATAGCATAACAATCGATAAATCGCAATTCACGCCACTGAATCGAGCTACACTGGATTTTTGAAACGGTCCAGCATAGAAACTTTTTCTCTAACTCCAGACGACAGAAATTGCTCCTAATACTCTTCCAAAGAAAAAAATAAAATTGAAGGCCTTATTTAAGCTATTTTCTTCCCACTTTGTTTAAAAATTTCATGAAACTTTCAATTTTTAGATCATTTAAAACCCTCCTTACGGCAAAGTTCAAATAACTTTTTACTTTTCGTGTAAACCCTCTGTACCTCGTTCAAAATTAGAAGAAGGAGAAGAAGTTTGTCAATTATTTATTCAAAATTGTGTACTGAACAATGTCCTTGATTCGTTTTTGCCATATTTTAATATTTTCCATCCAAAAATTCTAGTGGAAAACTCAAAAACGTCGAAAAAATCATTACCGTAGCCTGTAATAATCTGTAGGTCATTAATTTTATGTTAGGTTTTCAAAAGATTCAAGCCCAAAAAAAATAAAACCTTGGCAAATATTACAGCCAAGATGTATTTAAAAGAGTATTTTTTGGTGTTTATGTCAAAGTTTAGCATATCAATAAAATTACGCCACCCGGGAGCAATGTAACAAAATTTTCGCATCATTACCGTAGACTCTGTTAGCGGCACTTTTCCGCCGCTAGAACGCAGTCTGTGATCTCTTATTCATTCGGAGTGTTTTGTTTACCGTCTAGTGCACGATGGCCGGGTTGTCCGGATTTTGAACTTCATTAAAAGATAATTTCTCTTGTTTTTATCTGCTGAATTAAATTTTGGCAATTTGAAATTCTCATTACCGTATACCTACTTTTTTCTGTCAAGGAATGAATGAAATATTAAAGTAGTGCATGATTTATATTGCTTACTAAGACCTAACCTCAATTTGAAAATTACAGCGGAATCCACCAATGCAACTAGATTATACACCGACTTTCATCATAAATCATCATTACCGTAGCCATCATTACCGTAGCCTCTTTCCAAAAGGAGTGGGGTCTACGGTAAATGAAAAAATATTTTTAGTGCATATTATTCGTGACTACTACTAAATCATGCCTTTAGATGGTATAAAGACCTTAAAAAAAAACCTTAGGAATGCCATTTGAGGACTTTCACTTTTAAAATCTCGGCTGACCCAAAAGTAAAAAGTTATTTGAACTTTGCCTTACACGAAATAAACAACTTTGCGCTGAGCCCTGACATTTTAAACCAAATGAAGCCAACTACAGGTAGTAGTGCTGAGCCCTACAGTCTGTAAGGCTGGAACCTAAGGGTGTATGAATGGACCATAAAGTTGTAGGGCTCAGCACTGCTGCCTTTAGTTAGCTCGATATGATCTAAAATGTTAGGGCTCGGCGCTAAGTTGTTTATTCCGTGGTAGTAGCAGGGAGTGTAGGAAATCTCTTGAAAAATTTATAAATTAATTAAAAACTTTGAAACTGCTAAAATTTAGAAAAAGGAAACCCTTTTTGGGGATTTCACTGTGTAAAACTTGCAAGAGGTCAAATTGAAGTATAATAATTGCTTTGAAAAAACTCTTGAAAATAGTACACTAGTTTTTCAACACTTCTTTTACATACATTTTACTCAAAAAATTTATTTAAAAAATCACGTTTCTTATAGAATTTGTTAACAATTGTTTTACTTAAATTTTGCCTCTCGTAAATTTTACGTAAGAAAATCACAGGCAGGGTTTCTTCTTCGTTTTTAACAGTTTTTTACGAGTTTTTTTTTTTTAACACATTTTGACAGCCATTGCTATTAGGGTCTTGTCTAAAGCTAAAACAAAGTCAAAGGAACCAAACAAAAAAATTTTTTTTGAAAATCCGTTCAGTAAAACCTGAGAAAAGAGCACCTTAGCATCTGTACAATTTACATGGAGAAAATTGGGACTGTCGACTCCCCTTGTAGCTTATTTAAATGTATGTTGAACTACCAATACCTTCCGAGGCGAGCGGTCTCACCTAAAATCAAGTATTTACAGTGGATTTCAATTGAGAAAAATTAGCGATGCAAACTGCCAAGTGGGCATCGCGACTGCACTGAAAAAAAATCTCGGTGTATTTACTAAGAAAAGGGTAAAATTACCAAGAATTCAGGGTTCTATTTGATCCCAGTTTTTTCTTGGTAAAATTACCATTTATGGAATTGGTAATTTTACTGAGAAATCTGGGTAAAATTATTGAACTTTCTCGGTAATTTTACTGGACCCCGGTGAAAATGCCAATATTTTTTATCGACTGTGGTAGAATTACCGAGATAAAACGGCAAAGTTACCGGGAATTGATTACCAATAAAAGTGGTATTCTTACCTGAAAAAAAAACAGTAAAAATACCGGGTTTTAGGTAAACTTACCAGTCTGTCTTGGTAAAATTACCGATAATTGGTAAAAAAAAAAAAAGTGAGATGGTGAAGGTCCCAACGGACCTTCGTAAAAACGCCGAGAATTTGTTTTCAGTGCGGAATTGGGATCAATAACATAATTAGCGTTCTACAGTGCTCTGTCGTTCAATAGTCTGTGACCCTTTCCCTTTTTGATTTGGGTGCAAATTTATGTCGGCTATCTCCATTCCACCTTGAGGAAATATCTTTGCGAGTTTCGTTACAGCAAGAATACACTCAATCATAGAGGAGGGAAGGGAAATTTGGCTATATTTTGTATGGAAATATGCAAGTATGTAAACAACATGAGTTCATGGACCAAATAAGAAGTTCATCAGGGGGGCCTCGGTGCACTGGTTACCGTAAGTAGCACAACAGTTCCGAGTAGGTCAAAATTTCTCATATGCAATCAAAAATAACAATGTTGATTATTAATGCTTCCTGAAAAAATAAAAAAAGTACGGAAACAGCCTTTATCCCCGCTACATGCTGCATTGCTGCATGTATGTGCTGGTAGGACTGTATATTGACCCGCTGAATAGAAAAACTACCTCTGATCTCTATCGCCTTTTCCAGTTTTTCAGGAGAAAACTAGTTTTCATCAAGAGCGGTTTCTGATGGTGTTTTTTAAAAGGTGTAAAAAGGTATTCTAGAAAAAAATGGTTTTGTAGGAAAAATGGAGGGTGGCAATTTTTTTTCCTTTTATTATTGTGTAGATCGGATTTTATGATTTTGGTTATTATTTTTTGCAGCTCTTTGACTTTGAAGAGGAATTGAAACCTATCGTGGTTGCTCTCGTCAGCAGAACTTTAGACCAGTCTCTCCTCGAGATAATGAATGAAAATCAACTGAAAGTCAATGTGACTCCGAAAAAACTGACACAAAATGAAGCGCGGTGATAATGCTGACACGCTAACTGACATATCAAATAGACCGATAAGTGACAGCTTCTTAATGCTTGTCTGAACATTCATAATGAAGTACAAGATTTTTTTTCCTGCTTTTTCTCACGAAAAAAGATAAATTGAGAATAATTATAGAGCATTGGGTGCAGATTAAAAGGTGTAAACATTGTGCTACCTACTTTTATTATAGCTTGATGAAAAGTTCATAAAAGAGATCCTCTTTGCGGGACGTTTTGTATGCAAATCAAATTTTAATGCCTATGAAAAATGTATATACTCTTCACTCTTGTGTTTTATTTAAAACTTTTTTCTTTTAAATCCAATATTAAATTTTGCATATTTATCTATTTTGAATTATGATCAAGAGGCACGAGAAGAGTAATGGTGGGATACATTTATACCTGTCGCTCCACTACTAACCTAGGGCCTCATCCGTTACTTATTAGTCAAATCTTTGGAAAAAATGAGTATTATTGTAACGTCTGTAGAATATTCTAAATCTTCAAAAATGTCTTCACATTAAAAACGCATATAACCAGCTTCAGCGGTAAGTATTTCCAATAAGACATTTTATTCTTCAACAATGAATTTCATTTCAAATATTAACTATAGCAGGAGTTTATTTTCTTATTGTCAGATGAGCTAACATTTTTTTAAAATTGCTCATATTGCTGCAAATTTTAGATTTTAACGTGTTGATGTATGAGTTGATAAATTGTTTTTCTATTCAGTGAAAAAATGAATGAATTTTGAGCCAAAAGATCTCAATATGCAACGCAAAATTCAACAACTGAAGGACATACCAAATAAATCAAGAAAAACAAAATCAGCAGCAAGGTGGTAGAGCAGTTTTAATTTTCACTTATCTTATGATAAAAATATGCGAACATGGTATCATTGTAGAACAGAATCATTAAAATTAAAGGCATGAAAAATAATCAGTTTACTCCCAGAGTAAAAATAAACGGGTCCGAATTCTAATATTCCCTAGTACATATACAACACCAAAATCAAAAGCAAATCTTGCAATCTTCAATTCTCGTAATTGAAATGTCTGAACTTGGCGGTGTCGTAAAATGATTAATAATACATAAACGATTATTTCATGATAAATTGACACCATAAATACTAGGCGCAGGATTCGAACTTTAAGTAATTGTTTACGCTGAACCATCGATTTATCGATGTGTTGAAAAGCAAGAGAATGTCTGAACCACTAAATCAGTCTATCGCTGGGATATGATAAGAGATTTCCTCTTACTTCGTCGCTCCACTGACGTAAGGGCGTATCTTAATTCCGATGTGAGCTCTGTTTTACACGTAAGTCTATACTTTCTGGGGCTCTTACGGAAATCTAGATACGCCCTTACGCCAGAGGAACGACGATTTCAGGGATTGCGGTACCCATTTACTTTCATCAGGATATCAACTAAGAAGGAATACAAAAAATACAAATAAAAAATAAAATAAAAAAAGATTGTTTAAAAAAAAAAAAAAAAAAAAAAAAAAAAAAAAAAAAAAAAAAAAAAAATGCATGTAACCAATAGCGATTACTGCAACAGGATTAGCCTAAAAAACATTCCTCCAGAGATTAAAATAATTCTTAATCGGGGTGGACTAAATCTTTCAAGACACATCGTTGAACCTAACCTAACAGGTTCCCCTGACAGGGGGGCATGGGGAGCATGGGGGGCATGATTGACGGTTTAGCAAAGCGAAAGCACTGCTTGCGGTCAGCGTGTAATAAAATTCCCAAACTGAAAATAAAACAAAATCCATGACAATGGTTGAACTCAAAACAGTGGGCAATCATTAGATATAGGAGGGCATTGTTGACGCTTTAGCAAAGCATATGTACTGCTTCCAGACAAGGTGTAATATATTCCCCAAACTGAAAATAAAACAAATTTTATCACAGGAGTTGAACTCATTATGAGGAGAAAAATTTTACCAGCAGCCCATGACATTTTCATAAAATAAATTTTACAATAGAATATATTCGAAAGTGGAAATCGCGGCTATAAAAACATACATCAAAAACCGAAAAATTTTGCCCGAGTACACAGTAATACTCAATTGAAACTATTGAATAGTACTCGTTGTAGTACTATTGATTATTATTCAATTGAAACAAAAACAAAGCATAAAATGATACATTTATAAAACCCGAGCGGCCGGGGACTAGGACGAAAAATTCGGAGCAGATATTTGAAATTTTGTATTTAGTTTCCTTTAAAAATGACAATCAAAACGTTTCGGTTTTTCATGTGAGTTTTAAGGACTTGATTCTCGCCTCTTATTATATTGATAAATGTAGTTACCTAATGGACTCACTATGGTGAGTGACAAGTCTATGTTCTCAAAATAGGTATTCCAGTATTAAAAAATTTAAAACTAAAAATGAATAAGTAAAGAAGAGAGCAACTAGAGTAATGCAACCTAGGGGGTCTTCGTATTCAACTCACAAGGTCCTGTATTTTGACCGCATGTAGTTGAACCCAAACGGTTGCAACAACATTTGCATGCGCCTTGATTGAAGGCGTTTTACAGGGGCTTTTGCAATCGGTACGGCAATTGAGGCTTTTGCAAACAGTTTTTCATTTTTAGTGTTTCGTTCCTCCTTCATTTTTAGTTTCTCCAGTTTTGGTCCACGGCTCTTCTTTAATTGTCATTAAATATCTCTCGACTCCCGAATTCATTAAAGTTTAAAGTATTTTAATTTCATCTATCATGGCGTCGGTTGTTGACTCTCTAATGATAAATTGTTTTCGCTACCTTCACTCAAGTTTAAGTGATTATTTTGTAAAGGAGGAGTATCAACAGGGGCCGTTTTGGGCTCACCCTCTGAGGGTCTCCAACTCTACGATTTTTCACTCTTTAAAGTCCTATACTTTACAGGATGCATCATAATTTGGTCATTTCCGGTCTCTGCTCGGGTCTCTTCCTGGGCACAAGCACGGATTTGAAGGCCGATTTTGGCGGAAAATGCGGATTTGTGGGGTTTGCAGTCGACATCAGCCCTCAGACCCATGCTAAGGCCAGTATTAGACCTGTAAAGAGAGCAGAATTGACCAAATCATGGTACATTTTGTAAAATATAGGCCTTCAATGAGCAAAAAATTGTAAAGCTGAGTACATTCAGCTAGGATTGGCCCAAAAACGGACTTTATCGACACCTCTTCTTTAATTTTTAGGCCGTGGCGAATTAGGTCAGAAAGGCCTTTCACAGGGAAAATTTTTCCAATTATTATAAATTCCTGGACGAGAATTTGTCACCTTCCGGCTAAAGTTTCACAAACGCCGTGCGACTTTTGAAAATTTTCGGCGCCATTATATTTGTTTACAGAAAATTTTTTCAACGAAGCTGTCATAAAATTTCACTGAATTTTCTTTGTACCGCCGATAAAATTCAGTGGCATTTTTAAACAGGTTCGACAGACAATTTCTCTGTAAAAAAATAAATCGGCGACGGAAATTTTGAAACGTTGCATGGCGCTTGTGATACTTTGGCCGGAAGGTGACGAATTCACGTCGAATCAACCGGAAATCTCTTTAAAGTGACAAGACGTCTCTTTGAAATAACGGGGGAAAAGAGATTTCCTGGAGGGGAGGAGGGGCTCACATAAACACAGCTTTTTTATGTGGTTTTATTAGATTCATACTAAGCAAAAGTAATGCAGGGACTCAGACTTACGCCAGTATACTGCATTTGCGATCGCGATACCAAGGAGGATTGCTCCTGGCGTCCCTTTGAATGGAGCATCTTTTGAACCGCTCTTCCTGCCCGAAAAATGAAACAAAAACTTATTTTACGAAAACACCAAGTAGAAGATGTACGACGAAAAATCATAAAGGCCATCACTCATGGTCAAAATAGGACTGAGCTTAGCAAAAAGCACAAAGTCGCATTTTTGATATCAAAAATTAGTAGGGAGTTGTTTTGAATTCAAGCAGTCGTCAAATCACACTTTCAAAGACAAAAGTCGAGAAAAAATAATTATAATGTGAAACTAGTCGTTGAACCCCGTCCACGACGTAAATTCTTATGGTGGGATAAACTCTTTCTTTGTGGTTGTTCAAACCAGTGACGATTCTTGTAAGTTGGCAAAACTGTCTTTCCTTCATTTAAATGTACGTAAAACAATCGATTTTTGGTGAGGCAGCACCTAAAATCTATATTTATAATGGGTTTAAATGGAGGAGAAGCAGTGTTGCCAACTTTCAAGTATCGCAACTGGTTCAAACTTGATGCGACAAGGTGCGTCCTTGATATATAAACTTGGTCCAATCAGGGAGTTCGTGATTTATCCAACATGTTTGGAACATCTTATATTTTTTTTTTTTTTTAAATTTATTTTACTTTAAACAATGACTTTTATTTCGTCGGAACAATTGCAAGTCTATGACTAAGGACAGTGCAAAAGTTAATTCTAGGTCCAACAGCCTGCCTCGATAAATTTCGATTCTCTCACAGGCAAAATTCGTGGTATATAGTTTACAGTTTCTACTCAGTATCTTCACAGTATCGAGACACGTTTAAAATAAATGCGTCAATTTTTCATTCATAACGCGCTTTTTAGATCTGCAAAACGGACTGACACTTTAAAGTCAATGGTTAAAAAACTCAACACCACACCTGTATAAATGGCTTTTAAATACGAGGTAAACTTACATTTTGTCAATTTCGGGTTTGAGGAGCAGGTAAATGGCAAAAGGTATCAAGAATAGGAGAAGGAAATGAATCAGCGTCCCGACCAAGATGAGAAGGGGCGAACACTGTGGAATTACAGAAGGAAAGTATGTAAGAGAATATGACATTAACTACTGCCGTGCTAAGGAAAAACGCCGTATGAACCTTGAGGCGTTGCCGGATTTTCTTTGATAAAACAAGAATTTCCTGGTAAACCTGAGAATATTTTTCTTCCAATTTTTCAGATAATTTTGTTCACAATGTAACTGAAAGCTCCTGAGACTTTCAAAGCAAAATTTTCATAACTTTCCCACAAAATGAACATTTCATCGAAGGAAATTTGGCAACTTTCAAATGCTCGAACGGCGTTCTTCCTTAGCACGGCAGAACATCTCTTAAGCCTCATTTCTCTATCAGATATATTCATATATCAGAATATATCAGATATATCCTATTGAAAAAGCTCCGTTAATTTGAAAGCAGAATCGTATACATAAAAATGTGTACGTATCTAATTATTTTTCTTTGGCAGAGAGACCACGCATGTAGTTATTACTTTTTTCTTTATTTATTTATATATTTTAATCGTTCTTATCAAGTCATGGTATCATAATTAGTCGAAAGGAGGGGTATCGTTAAGGGCCTTTTTTGGGCCCACCCTGAAATTCCTCAACTCCGCGATTTTTTGGTCACCCTAGCGTAAATATTACCTTGCGGTAAGCTAACCATCACCTTGCGGCAAGGTATCGGCCTATCCATCCTCTCCGATCCCTATCCGAGCCCTCGCCGAGCCAGTTCAAGGAACTCGACGACCGGGATTAAAACCGTATGACAACACTGTAGACCCAAATCCAGACGCAGGGCTTGAAAAAGGCGACATTGCATCGGGAAATACCCCGTGTTGGGTACGATTTTCGTCTCCAGCGTTGCCATGCATAATTATTCCCAGTCGTTAAGTTCCACGAACTGACCCGGCGAGGGCTCGGATAGGGCTCGGTGAGGGTGGATAGGCCGATACCTTGCCGCAAGGTGATGGTTAGCTCACCGCAAGGTAATATTTTCACTAGGGCATTGAAGGTCTATATTTTACGGAATTCATAATGGTTTGGTCATTTCCGAACTATTTCGGGGTCTATCACTGGCCTAAACATGGGTCTGAAGGCCAATTTTGGCGAAAAATGCGGGTTTTTCGGCATTCAAAGCGCTGTTTCATGCCGATCCCTTCGGAGGATAAAAAAGTCCTTCAAGTATGTTCATTAGGGATGTACGAGAGTCACTTTGGCCAATTTTCGTTGATGTCAAACTTTGCGCTCATTGTTAAAAAGAACTTTTTAGAATTTTCCTGTTTTTCATCGTTATTTAAAATGGCTTAAAAAAGCGACTCATCTTACGCCAGAGTTTAAATTTTTTGACAATAAATGGACGTGCGTGGTAAAAACCTTCCTCAAAAAACATTTTTGGATTCAAAGCCCCCAAAAAACGCCGGTGTTGCCATATTTTGTTGCCTGAATTCACGGAAAACCTAGTATTTCAGAATTCGGAGGCTGTTCCTCGTCAAGAACATTCCGCAAGTTCAGAAACCTTTATTTTTCACCCGCAGTGGCCACATTAGTAGGGATTTTATGCATGTTTTATCTATTTATGTATTTATCTCCCGCTGTGGCTCAGCGTTGCCACATGTTATTCGGGAAAATCGAGAACGATTCGCGTTTAGGTGGTTTTGCACCATTTTTTTCGGATCATGCCAGTGATAGACCCCGAGATAGATCGAAAATGAACAAACCATTATGCATTCCGTAAAATATAGACCTTCAATGACCAAAAAATCGCGGAGTTGAGGAATTTCAGGGTGGGCCAAAAAAAGCCCTTATTAACGATACCCCTCCTTTAACATACAGTCAACTTGTCATAAGCCGGTAATTCTTATTTCCAAAATGAAGGGCCCAGAAGTCTTTTAAATGGTCGAGATGTGACATGCTTTCGGCAAATTAGGAACCGGAATCTTCACTTATGACCTGCTATCGATCTGCGAGTCAATGGACTCAAGTTATCTTCAACATTGGAAGAGTGCATTCTTATTTTTTACAGTATAAAATACGCGAAGAATTGGTAAAATTTCCAACGGTGATCGTACTTGAAAAAAATTACCACTCACCACGCGTATGCCACCATACGTAAATATGTACCCAAGTGCTGATACTGCGAAAGCTATCAACAGGAGGTAATCTGAAACAAGGACGTAAGAATTCAAGTAACTAAAAAGAAAACAAAAACTTCTAATTTTAGTTGTAAAATGGAACCTTTGGAAATGCGAGAGTCGCAATGGTCGCATGGTTGACTTTTAGAGAGACCCAAAGAATCAATACCTACAAAAATGTTTCAAACAATTCAATTGACTTTAACTCTTTAGTGTACATCTAAATCTTAAATCCAGAGCTACTTCATCAAGGAACAACGATATGGTAACGCTGGTGTTTGAGAGTTTTGTATAAAAATTCATCACGATGTCATGGTCGCAAAAGCAAAGGATATCTTGTAACATAGATACATCTTTCAAAGGAATCACAAGTTACCTCGAGAAATGTTGAAAAATGTTGAAGCAGTTACAAGTGACAAGTCGAAATCTATAACATGAAGTGCAACAGGAAACTCAAAGAATCTAGTAACGTGTATTTTCAGCTAAAGCAAACATCTGTCAAGTAGTTAATAGTGGGTTGCTAAAAGTTTTCACTCTCTTGCTAAACTTTACGTCGCAATATCTGTGAGATTGTAATACTTACAACTTCCTTGTTGAATGGCCATAGCTATGGTAGTTGCCGCTCCGACTAAAATCAGTAGCCACTACAAAACACATGACACATACATTAAATTAGGAATTAAAAAAAAAACTCGTCACAGAAAATCGCAATGCCTGGATAGGTGAAAAACATGCAAATGTTTCTTACATAATGGAGAATACATAATTGTAAAATCTCGAGCCAAATTTGATACTTGGCTTCCTTGTGAAAAAAATATAACATGAGAAGAAATCAAGCTACGTTAGTACAGTGGCGATTCTTGAAAGTTGGCAGCACTGTGTTTCCTCCATTTAAATGTATGCAAAACAATCGATTATTGGTGAGGCAATCGGCAGCACCTGAAATCGATATATTTATAATAATTTCAAGTGGAGAAAAAGAGTGATGCCAACTTGCAAAATCGCCACTGATTAGGCTGATTCTTGTGATATCGTCCAATTTTCTACCGAGTTTAATCCGCAAATAAAGAATGCTAAAATAATTTTTGTCTAAATCATTTTCATTTATCATAAACAGTGAGTGGGCACATTTGATGGGCTTTGATGAATGAAATTGAATTGAAATTGATTGAATGCAGAAACAATAAGACGTGGCTAAATGATAGTAGTTCCAAAATGTTTGAAAATTCTTATTTTTCACACAAAAATTCATAGTTAATTCATTAATTTCACAACCTTTCACACTGAGGCAGAAAATCTATTCAAGTATTTATTTATTTATTTACTCACCCAGTACGCACCAAAGTACAAGAATAGGAAGACAAACAGTCACCGCACCCCATGAGATGCAGTTTAACACAAAATATTTTAGCTATCAAATGGGCCTGATCGGCTCCATTATTCATTAATTATTACAATTATGTAAAATAAATATCGAGTTACATATTTTAATTAAAAATCTAAATGGAGGAGGTTATGAATACTTACTGCACCGAAAAGACTCATGCATCTTAGACCATCTGGCAAAGATTGACCGCATGCGCTACAGAACCAGACCCTGCACATTATCTGAAATAATCGCTTAGGAAGCTTTAAACTGCAAGTGAACCCAAAACAAAGTAACAACGGAAAACCGCTAAAATTAGCGGGGTCTATAGTTCACTTTTTGCGTAAACATTCACACAAAGTAGGACATCATTTTGAGGCTATGCTGCTCAAAAGTGATCTGTTACCAGGCAATTATTTTAGTTCATACCGCGTGCTCTTTCTGAATGAAGCATCCATCCAGACCGGACAAAAGCACGTTTACGGCCACTGGACACCCAGCATTTTTCTTAGAATTTGAGGTTAAAATTATGGAGAAACGAAGGGGGCAAATGCCAATTAGAGTGTCCAACATCAGCTGTAGTACCAAAGCCCGTTGCGATGACACTATATTATCTGTCATGGCCGGATTCACCTACTTCTGCCACCTGTATTTTGCCGCCCTCTTCTCATTCATTTTGAAACATCAATAAAAATCATCAAGTGAACGTGCCGGAGGGAGAAGGGTGCATAAGACGCGTTCACTCGTGTTGGACACATTTTTTGCGTAAGCCCTGTCAACACTACTAACAAAAGTTCACGAAACTTCGCGCGAAAGTTCAGTTCCATAAACCTATCTCTGTGGGGACAAGGCCTTTCACTTGTAAGAAATGAAATAAAAAATTAAGAAAGAACAAACATGAAAGTGGTTTAATAATTTTAACTTCCGCCGCCGTGCCGCGCTGACCACACTGCATTTGGCGCAATGCGTGAAGTATTCATGTAGTCTTGTAGGCACTGTGCGTTTCAAGCCGCGCCGCGCCGACCGCTGTTGACGTTGACCGTACTGTGTTTAGTATTTCGCGCAATGCGTGAAGTATTCATGTAGTTTCGTAGGCGCTAATATGTGTTACATGCCGACCGCCGCGTCGAGGGCTTCTCCTTTTCAGCTCAAGTCCTCGTCATCATTTCTCTTTGCGCCGCGCCGCTCCAGGCCAAATTACGTGTTCGGTTTCTCTCTTAACTCAACTAATTGAAGGTGCGCAGTCTTTTGTATCACCGAAATACGAAAAAATTAGTAATTAATGAACTCTCAGGACATGAGAGATTTTGTCACCTTTTCTTATTTGTAATTTTTTTCTGAATCCGATGTTTTTGTACCTGCTTTTAAAAAAATTGCAAAATTTGCCGCCTCCTAATTTTGCCGCCATGGGCCGCGGCCCATGTGCCCACCCCCTTAATCCGGCCCTGTTATCTTTATATATATGTATGCATATTTTAAAGTACCCAACTCACCAATCAAAATCGCATTCATTACGAATCTACACCATTGCTACAGAGTTTAGTGTAAAATACCGACCAAAACACACTGCATACGCCATCCCACTTGCACAGCATGAATCAATGCAGTAAACTCCATTGACTCGAATATTTCATAAAAAAGGTTTCCGTTTAATTTGTAAAATTTAATTTTTTTTTTTTTTTTTTTTTTTTTGCATTTGTCACTTTTTTCTCGATGACCCCCAGGGTAGGCCAACAGACCCTCCTCCCCAGCTCATTGAGTAAACTTTTCGTGATTTTTATAACTATCGAGTTTACTGTCCGTTCACGTATTCGAGTTGGGTTTACATGCACTTGAGGAAGACTTATACTTAGGATTACATTAATCCCTATTTTTCTCTCGATTCATTCCATTACCACGGAGTCAGAATTTTCGAATTGGGCCGTCTGACTTAAGCCTTTGAAGTTTTGCTTCAAACCTCCTCAAAACTCCACAGAATAGAATTCTTTCAATTCCTCTGAAGCACTGTCAGTAAAAGTCAAAAGTCAAGCGCAACTTTCAATGTTCCGTCTGTGAAACTTCTCGCAAAGCGCACGCGTTGAAAGTTTTCACATTCAACTCATAAAATTGGATATCAACCAGTGGCGAGGTGGGAATGATCGATTATCGAATTTTACTTATTTAAAGGTATGGTAATGAATATATCAATAAGGTGTTCGCTGCGAACACCCTCTTTATCGATCGTTTTCATAGGTTTAAATGGCAGATAAATCGATATATCGCAATGCACGCCACGCCACTGATATCAACGTTTTACACGTCTTTCAACTCTATGGTTTCACAAGGGAGAAGAAAAGACATCAATAATAAAATCCCTTACCGCTGGAAAATACTGATTTAGAAATGCTGGTTTTATTGGTAAGTATAACGAAAAATTTAATGTAATATATTTTTTAAACGATTTAAAGTCATTTTACCCATCTAGGATACCTATGTTTAGGTGGATGCTTCAGCTCTTACTTGCCTAATATATTTGCCTCGATGTCATTTTTCGACTTAAAACTTTCTTTTTTCTCTCTCTCTCTCTTAAATGGCAATACTGCCTTCAAATTACCTGCTCGCGCTGGTATACCCAACAATTTTAGAGCATCATAATTAAACTGTTTCCTTGTTGTGCTCATTTCTTTTAAATTGAAGAAAAGTTGCTCTTCCTTTTCCCTTTATATAACTATTGCGAAATTCACAGTAGATTAAACAAAAAAATATATCAGGAATCAAATGTAAACATAACTTATTTTTAATAAGAGCCATCCTTGAATATATTTAATCAATCAAAAACAAGACAAAGCTTTCTATTTTTCACCGGGGCACGAAACAAACATAAGACAATGTAAAATTAATACCAAGAAAGACAAAATTAATTGTGTGATGAATAAAATCCGTCATTTTTTGCACTCCCCCCCCCCCCACAAAAACGCCATGCTCCTAGTGTCGTCCAATGAAGATGAAACAATTTAAGTACAATCGATTTAAATAAACATTGTTCTAAATTATCTTTGTTCCATCCGCTTGACTGCATTTTTTGCCCATCCTGGAACTTCTACTCAGAACAGCATTCAACACTCTCGTGCTGACTTTCTCGACTGCGGCAATATTTAACGAGCATCCGTTGGTTGTATTCGGAGAGAACTGCCATCACGTAGTAAATCCCGAAAACTGAAAGGACACAATTAAAATGATGAGGTACGCAACCGAAACACACACAATAAAAAAGAAAAACATTCAAGATTTCCCTGTGAAGCTCAAAGATTACGCGTGAGTAAAACAACAGCTTGACTCGATCGGATTTGACTCAAACTAGAATCATTTCTTCAATTGGACTACATTTTGCAATTTGGAACAATAAATTCTAACCCGGTTTAAAAACAACGTATGTGCCATTAGTTTCCCTACGCACATAAGTGTTTTTCCAGAAGAGCCAGAATTTATTGTTCCAAATTGCAAAATGCAGTCCAATTATTAACAGCAATGGACAATTTTTAATTGTCAGAAATTCGACGGGTTTCATGTTTAAAAGGATGCTACCGAGCTCGTTTTTTCTAATGTTCTATTGTGTTTATCCCTTTGATCAGTTTTTCATATTAGCGGATTTTTCTTTTTTAGAACTATTTTGAGATTTTCATGACATGCTACTCTCATAATCCAATAGTTTTTAAGTGCCCGCCTCGAAAAGCATCGTTCATTTCCTGCTGTAAAGTTCTTAGATTGAGGGTGAAGCCTTTTTTATAAATCCTCTGGTGAAAAAATGCCTTCAACTAGGAAGTTCTGCAATACGCGCAGCTCGAAGTACGTTTAGATGCATCAGAGCAGAAGAGACGGCGCTTTGACGGAGAAATTAATCATTCATATCATCTTAATGGTTGAACTTGACTACATGTTTCGACTATGATGCTTCAAAATGTTCACTTTTACTTTAATTTTTCAGATCGTTATTTTTGCTTCATTTTCCAAAAGCAACATCATTTCTCCATGAAAGTTTCATATAATATTTTCAGACATTTTAGGAAAAATCACGAGGAATGTCATGAAATTCTTCACAACGTAAGTAGAAAATTCGTGAAGATTGAATCAGCATTGAAAATCTAATTTTAGGATTTCAAAAGATGAGTTTTCTAACGCTTTGGCAAAGCGGCTTTTAGGAAAAGTTTGCAACACTGGGTTTCATCCATTTAAATGCATGCAAAAGAATCGATATTTTTGGAAGCAGGCTACCTTGTCGGGATCGATTGCTCTTCAGACTTAAATGGGGAAAAACAGTGTTGCTGATTTGCGAACATCGCCACTAGTCTGGTAACTCAGATAATACATCGATTGACGATAATATGTACTGCAGGAAAGTAACTGATGAATTACCTAGGAAAATCATTGACACGGATGTCAACAGGAGTGTGATCAAGAAATTGTGAAACTCTGTCTTGCTGAAAGAAAAAAAAAACGTAAATTAAGAGCCACGATCCTAAAATGTTAAAACAAATCCACTATTTTCAGAGAGTCATTCTACATACCTATCTCGATTTGCGACGTAAAACTCATTCTCTTTTTCAATGGAAAAGTACCTAATAGCAATTTTTAAACATTTCGTGATTTTTCTTCTTTGAACGAGCGAAATTCTGTGCGAACTTCGAGGAATGGTGTTGATTTTTTTCTTATAAAAGAATAAAATAGGAGCGGAGGATTTAAAACACCGCAAACGAGGTACGTATAGTTCGGGGGTTTTACCGACGCTATGACCATATCGACGGTGCAAGTCCGCAAACAAGTATCGCGGTTTGCGACGTCGCATCGCAGACTTCCTGTCATACTTCATTTTTTAAACGGAAAACGACTCAACGGAAATTCTTGAAAACTAACGTGATTTTTCTTCTCTGTGCGAAGAAAATTCTGCAAAAACTTCAAGGAATGATGTCAATTTGTTCTCCTTTAAAAAAATAATATAGAGGCAGAGATTTTCAAACACTGCAAACTAGACACGTGGTTGCGGACCTACGACGCCGATATGCTTCATTAAATTTCAGACCAATACCTCGAAAATTATGAACTGTACTGTCTGTGCTTTCAACTTTTATTGAAGCGTAATAAATTGTCCATCAGAGTCCACATCTTGATGGTGAAACTGCAGAAATTCGTATTGCGGGTTGTGACGTTGCAGACTTCCTATCGTACTACATTTTTTACATGGAAAACTCCTTATAAAAAATAAAGTAGGAGCGGAGATGTCGAAACACCGCAAGCGAAGTACGCATTTTTGCAGTCTCACCGTCGATTTGGACTATCTGAACGTTCATTATACAGAGCGACGCAGAATTAATTTCTAAATGCAGCTGTGAGTTGTAAACACTCTTCCATGATTTGATGGATATTTCTCAATACACGTATGATAACAAAGTTTATCAACAATGTGTCAATCAGAAAAAAATATCATCTGATGTGGAGGATGTTACGTGTGCAATATTCTTACTATAGCAGCATCCACACAACGGCGACGAGGCAAAAAACAATGAGATAGATTATCACGACAATGTGAATCGTCACACCAAGCAGGATCCAAAAATCGCGCTCCTGAAAAATGAAATTAAATCATGAAATACGATGTTCATAATGAGCTGCGGAGAGCTAGTATTCAGAAGATAAAATTAGACGATAACATGTTGGAAAAAGTTCTTCTTTTTCAAATGTTTCAACGTCCGGAAACCAGTTTAGACATGGCATTCTATGCGAAACTAAAATATGCTTCGAAAGCAAATATTCATGTAATACAAATACAATTTGAGGTTCCTACGGTTTTACTCATTAAAATAGCAGCTATTTTGGAAATACGCAGTTTTTTTCACAAGTATTATTTAATATTTACAATTAAAAAAGAAAAACTGATGAAACCCATTGCAATACACGCGAATCGAGACTGCAATGATGCTCATTGGAGTAGCTGGTAGAAGACGAGGAACTAAAAGCCCTAAATATTACTTGATTAGATCAGAAATAGAGCAAGAAGTATGGATAACACTCACACATTCAATGTTCTTATAGATCAAGAAAAATGCAAGAAGTGCAAAAATATCAATAAGTGCGAATCCTGCATCTGCAACAAATCAGATGGGAGAAAGTAATCTGTAACAGAGTTTTGAAAAATAGCATTACTAATAGAGAATGATGAATTCATATGTCAGTACTTATTACTTGATTTAGCCTGAAGCAGTTCTGCAGGCGCTCTGAAAAAAAAGTATGTCAAAAAGTCTCGAAATTGGTTTTTTGTGGAGAATCTCAGGTATCTGACATACAGCTGGAGAGGTGAAACCCCTCCCCTTTTAACAAATTAGAATAAAATATATAAAGTTCAGTATCTGCAATTACAGCAAATTTTGCACCTTTATTACCCAGCCCCCTATTCATTGCGATGTTTTGACTTCAGATCTCACTTACATCACTGATTGCCGCGAATCAATTGTTTGATTAGTCTACAGTGAATTTTTATGGAAAAAGTAGGAAAATATTAAAATTAAGAAAATATAGTTTAAGCGCAACAAAGTGTTTTCTTGAATCAATAATGTTTGTACGGCATTGCAGCAAATAAGCAAGCAAATGAATAAATTCAAATCTGATTTGTAAAACTTACATGCGCTATGATAGCTGACTGCTACAATGATCATCAAAACTATCCTGATGAGCACGATAACCTGAAAGGAGAGAAACACATTTTAATTTTATTGTCATGTACGACATACGAGTGAGCAAAAATTGGAAATCCCTTCAATACCCTTTATTACTCTCACGGCCGGATTAAGGGGGTGGCCACATGGGCCGCGGCCCGCATAGGGGCAAATTTAGGAGGCGGCAAATTTTGCAATTTTTTTAAATGTAGGTATAAAAAAAATCGGATTTAGAAAAAAAATATCATCAATGAGAAAAGGTAACAAAATCTCTTTTTCCTGAGAGTATAGTAATTTCTAATTTTGTCGTTTTTCGGTGATGCAAGAGACAGCATCTTTAATTAGTCACGTTAAGAGAGGAACTAAACACGCAATTTTGCCTGAAGCTCAGCGCAGAGAGGAATGATGACGAAGACTTGAGATGAAAAGGACAAGCCCTCGGCGCGGCGATCGACATGTAACACATACTAGCGCCTACAAGACTGCATGAATACTTCACCCATTGCGCCAAACACAGTGCGGTCACGCGGTCAGGCGCGGTTGGCGTGAAACGCATAGCGCCTACAAGACTGTGGGAATACTTCACGCATTGCGCTAAACACAGTGCGATCAGCGAGGCGCGGCGCAGCGGCGGAAGTTAAAATTATTAAACCACATTTATGTTTGTTCTTTCATAATTTTTTGGTTCATTTCTTATACATGGAGGATCCTGTCCACGCAGAGATAGGTTTACGGAACTTAACTTTCACGTCAAGTTCCGTGAAATTTTGCTAGTAGTGTTGACAGGGCTTTCGCAAAAAAATGTATCCAACACGAGTAGGTAAATGCTTCTTATGCACCCCTCCCCCTCCGGCACGTTCACTTGATGGTTTTTATTGAGGTTTCAAAACGAATGAGAAGGGGCAGCAAAATACAGGCGGCCCATGGGCGGCAAGTAGGTAAATCCGGCCCTGATTACTCTTATTTGGATTACATTTTGCAATCAGGAACCAAGATCTCTGGCTCTTCCATAAGAGCTCACATCTGCCTAGGGAAAACAATGACATGTACGTTGTTTCTAAAATGGGCCAAAAATAGTGGCTCCTTATTGCAAAATGTAATCCATTTAATTGTATACCTTATATCGACGGCGGAACTACCAGACCACGTAACTCGTTTGCAGTGTTTAAGAATCTCCGCTCCTCTTTTATTTTTTTGAAGGAAAACAAAAAAAATATAATTTCTTGACATTTTCACTGAGTTTTCTTTGTACATAGAAGAAAAACAGATCAAGTTTTCAAGAATTAACTTTGAGTAGTTTTTCATTTAAAAAATAAAATATGACAGGAAATGTACAACATCGGAAACCGAGATATGTGGTCTGGTACTTTCACCGTCGATATGCACTTTACTACCTATATCTAAGATAAGATCTTTATTCAAAATTGAAAATATAAAATAAAAAACAACATGAATCTGCCCGGCAAATTGGGATACCCACTTATTCTACCGGATCAGACGTAAAATTAAATTCATCTGATAATAATACAAAAAAACATACAACAGCATACCTACATGCACTCATCATTTTTACAAAGGATATCTATTTTTATCTCTATTATGTAGCAGAAGAAGATGGAATAAACTTCATACCGTGCCAATAACAGAGAGCAAGCAAATGCCCTCCTTCATTTCCTTGCCAGCGACTACGTTCATCCATATTCGACACATAACGGGCGGTGGTAGTGACGCACTACATGAGCAATTTAACCTTCATAACCTTAAATCTCTTAAGAAATTGTTCTCCATTGCAAGGATGCGATCATAATACAGCACGAAAATTTCACGAGTCACGAGAGATTTTTATCTATTTATTTAGAAAAGGAAAGACTGACTTCGAAAGGTTGTTATAAACATCCCACACCAAAACTTAACCAACAAATTTAAACTAAAAAGCACGATAAGCTCATGAGAATGGCGTGTCTTAGTAACGGGCATCTATGCCTACTTCGAAAATAAAATGGATGATGCGGATATTTTCATGCAAGATGGAATGATTTTACGTATCATTTAAAATGGGGGAAAAATGTTAAAGAAAGCTATACCCAAAGGATGTCCAAAATTTGATGTCTAATATATCCCTTTGATTTAATAAGTTTCACCCGTGTTTTCTTTTTCTTTTTTTAACTTTTCTCTCAAATCTCAGCGACATCTCACCAGCAGCCTAGAGCCAGGCACTGCGAGCTCACGCCTCACGCCATCGCGCCTTCAATTTTGCAGATGCAACACAGACATCCATCGAGCATGAATAGTTGTATCTCTGCGCCGTCTACAACGCGCGTCCTTTCCTTCACTCAAATTCCACATTGTGTTGGTTTCGTTTCGACGGCGTAACTCGGCAATCACACAACTCGGTTTGCGACGTCGCAGACCTCCTGAGTCATACTTTATTTTTTAAACGAAAAACTACTCTGCGACAATTCTTTAAAACTGCCGTGATTTTTCTTCTCTGTGCGAGGAAACTTCTGCAAAAATTTCAATGAATGATGTCAATTTGTTCTCTTTTAAAAAAATAACACAAAGGCGGAGATTTCCAGACACCGCAAATGAGATGTATGATTGCGAACTTACCCCGTCGGTTTGTCTTATTTGTAGTGGCGCTCTAAGAGCTATAGGGGAGCAACACAGCCGGAAACAGGAGAGACGCAATACGGCCTCGTTTTTCAATTTTTCTCCCAAATCTGAGTCATACCTCACTGACCAGTTTTAACGAAGTTGCAAATTTTCAACCCAAAAATTTGTTCAAAAGATTTGGTCAGAGTAACCCAAGGAAAAAGTAACCAAAAAATATGAACCTCAGTTGAGGGGCTTGGAGGCCAAGGCGCTTTAGTGCAGTTTTTGAAAAAATTGAGTTGTTAATGATTTTCAGTAAAACTAGTCTAAATTCATATTCTAAGAAAAATTCGCACTCAAATTCATATTTTTAAGCTTGAAAAAGTCAGCTTTGAACTTCCTTCCCGCCATTAGGATTCATGTAATTTCGAACCTTCAAACATGAATTGAAACAGCAAAAACTACACTTATGCGCCTTGTCCTCCAATCCCCTCCGTTGACTTCAACAGCGCACCTCCTCTTAGACCAAGCACCACCCACCTCCTTCCTCCTCTATCCTAATGCAATCCAAGTGCATCGAAGGACCGATCGCTCCCGGATCAAATTGCACCGGCGCGGCGCAGATTTTTTCCGTGCACTTTTCAGGGAGTCGGCGACACCCCCCCCCTTCACCACCCACCCCCTGCCCAGGGCCCCGGGCAGGTGCAGCGGAGTGTGCCGAGTATCATGTCATCGGTCCATTAGCCACACCACCGCGCCAACATCCAACAATCAAGAGATCCGCCCGCTATAATGAAGCGGTAAGTGGCCTAGTGATGAATGCGCGCATCTACGCGGGCCGATCCGAGGGTGAAGGGCGCAGGGCGCAGGGGGAGGGACTCCAAAGCTGTATCAACAGAGACACTAACGTCACGTGCGCAGTCCCACGGAGGGGCCACGGGCCGATGCCAAGCTCACCCCAAGGGGACCCATGTTGCCGAGTGAGCGGTAAATGAACCCTGTTTCATAAAGGAGAGCAGTGTTGAAAACTCACCTTTGAGTTTTAGGAGCCATGTGGCGCATCAAGCCCGATCTTTAGGTGCCATTGAAGATTTTTTAGGGGCCAAATTGACTTGGTGCCTATATATTACGGCGGATTTAGTGAAAAGTTAGACGCAAGCTGTTTTCGTAACAGAACTAGTAAGTAGCTGTAACTTGGGGAAGACAGAAGCGCAAATGATGAAATCGTGAAGAATAGAAAAAGCTTTCACTTGTGGTGTTGAAAATTTCGAACAATCACCCAATATGAAAATTCAGATTTTTAAGGGGAAATTTTTCGGGGCCACGTTGGCGCAGAGCCTTCATATTTTAGGCGCCATGGCCGATTTTTTAGGCGCATTCGGCGCGTTGGCGCCTGTGAGTTTCGAACACTGGAGGAGAGGGTGTGTTAGAGTACCTTCATAGGGAGAGTATGGACGACTCGAAATTTTGGAGGTCATGTAGCTCTTGGGGTCCAAAAGGAGAGCCAACCTATGAGCTCGAATTATCCAGTGGTACAAATTTTCACATTTCGACGATTTACATCGATCAAAAAGTATAAGAGCACGTATAAAACTTTGATTTCGCTTACATTCTCTCAGTTTCAAAGTTTTAATCCTTGAAGACGCTGGTTTTTAATGCGCTGTCGGGCATGTTGAGTAATCTTCCAAATGCATAGGTTGGCAGCGGCACTTTTCTAGTGATTTTCGTTTTTCACGTTGTCGCCTTTTTGGGCCCTAGGAGCTACATAAATCGAGTTGTCCATACTCTCCCTGTTATATGATTTGAGCTCAGAAGCGCTTATATTCTTATGCGTTTTTGAACTCATCGATGGAAAAGACTTTTTCCCTTTTGAAGAACATGAATGCGCAAAGGACCCCCGATCGTAGGTCTTGAAAGCCCCGGTGCCGGTGCCTCGGAAAGTTACGTTCCATACACACGGAGTTGCCGATTTTAATGGAGAATTTGCAGAAGTTTAAAATTTGATCAATTGATAAATTCCGTGTTTAAACGGGGGCTCTGCGACAACAAGCTGCCAAAGCACTCTTAGACGAATCAATTAAAAATTTGGGAGCAAATTCTCTATTAAACGAATACGTTCGGAACATCATTCAGATATGGCAGCGGCAGTGTACTTAGAGCGTTGCAAATCGCGCAGTCACTCAGATTGCTGTGGAAAAAAGTATAGCGCCATAAAAGTCAGCTCTCTTGGATACCCTTAATCATCAGGCAACGTTGTGCTAATTATTATGGGAGAACAGCACAACCCTTAACTTTAATACGCCGACGAGGCATTGCGCTGTAAACGTTGCAGCAGAGGTGATCATGTACTGCGGCCAAAGCATCTTAATTTCTTAAATTTATTTCACCTAATAGACGCGACGAGGATAAAACAAATAGTCGTATCCAGGCATTGCGTTACGGTCGCGTTAGTGTGATCAAACGGAGTAAATCAGTGCGCCTTCAGTTTTGCGCATACAACAGCGACAGTTACGAAGCGCGAATAGTTGTATATCAAGAGTTCAAGGCGTCGGCATGCAGTGGTGGATGGCTTGATCACATGGAGTCAACCAGTGCCCCTTCAGTTTTTGTGCATGCAATACGGACAGTCGTCGAGCACTAATAGTTGTATTCAGGCGTCGCACGGTCGATCGAGTCAATTAGAGCGGTCGGACATGAAATTTTTGACTAAAACTGCAAATTTTGTTGTTTATCTCGTCACATTTTAAATTTTAAGGGGTGGTTTAAGAAGAAAACTTCACGAGGAAAACAATAGAACCACTATTAGAACCTCTAAGTTGTTTATAAACGGAGTTATAAGCGTTTGAAGTTTTCAAAATTTGTCCGACCTCTCCTATTGACTCGATCCACTGTGCATTTCAGTCACGTTTTGCCTATCCTTCCGTCTTTTCCTGTCAAAATTCGCAAATTTTTTTTCTTTCTCATTCAATAACCAAAATTCAGAATGTCGTTCCAGTATTAGCTGAAGTCAGGAAAGATAACTATGATTATGATTTTCTCTCAAATCTATGTTTGAAAAAAAAAATCGTATTTTCGAAAATTATGTTAGCTTTTTTTATTTTGATGATAATTTTTCCTATTGCTAGACTGAGTCCAACATAATCACACTAATCCGTAAAGAGGACTAGAAGTATCATCGTTTGTGTACATCCACGAGGAAAGGGGCCTTTATAATAGAAAACTAAAAATTGAGTTGCAGAGAGTATGCATTTAAGAAACATATTTGCACAAAGGCAAACAAGGAACAAACTTCGAAAACCATTTAATGATGGTTTAAATTTTGCAAATAAAAAATTTAAGTTTAAAACAAAGCTATTTATAAGTGAATCATTCATTTCTTAGGCTCAAAATAACGGATTAAAATATAGTATACACATCCATTGGAACAAAACCATCTGCACATTTGCGAAATAATTTGCACTGGAGTATTTTTCGGCAAAAGCTCAGATACAGCTTCTACTTATTTAAAAAAAAAAAAAAAAAAAAAAAAAAAAAAAAAAAATGCTCCATTGAAAAATGTATCTTCTGCAGCTACAATCCTTTTTCCTAAGGATGAGCTTATCCATAAACTAATTTTAAAATATTAAAACTAAAAATTCAAAAAGGCTATTAGGAAAAATAATCTACAAACTGACAACCTTGCAAGGGCCCGGTTCGGTCCAGAGGCCCGCAGCGGCCCTTTCAGACATCAAACCCTTCGCAATAGCGTATCGCGGTGCAGAGTGAGCGGGGAGGGGGAGGGGAGACACAGGGACTTTGGAGCGGCGCTTTGAGTTTCATACACCTGTTGACTTGACATCCAGTCATTGAACCACCGCTCACCCCCCAAACACTTGTCCCGACACCACCTCCACCGCCCCTCCCCCTCCCCCTCCCCCTGCGGCACGCGGCTGGGCCACACGCCCCTTGAACACGAAACAGCTTCATTACCCTTTTGACCCACTTCGACGCGGATCCTGATTTGTAATCGCCTTTTCACGCCGAGCCAATCAAAACCCGAATCTGCGGTATCATTGAGGACCATCTTTTTTTTCTCTCTTATGAAACATGACGGCGTGCGTAGAGTACAGGTGTGTCCGTCGAGAAAAATTCACATCGAACAAAAATGTGAACCGTCGACTGGACAGAGTGTTGAGTTGAAGCGCACGTGTACTTTCGAAAAAACGATGCACAAATCGGAATGATTTTGTGTTAAGTAAAATTAGTAAGATCTAACATCATTCGTTTACCCTGGCAAGTTTTTTTTTCTTCTTTTTTTTCTTTTTTTATGTTTGTTTATTCGCCATCCAATAACGTTATTACAGAATTAAAAATTTACATCAAGAGAAAATAGAAATATCACCAGAAAAAAAATAAATATAAATACAAAATGGTTAATCAATTTATTGGGGGGCTGCCGAAATCACCGTTAGGCATAACATCAGCACCCTGGCAAGTGTTAGGTCAGTATCACTTGCCTCAGAACGTCATACCTGAAAACGCCTCAAGAAGCAACTTACCTAACGCTTGATAATGCAAGGGACCGTTCGTAAAATGTAACGCTAAATAATAAGTGTAACGCGAAATTTTGCATTTTTTGATTTCCTTATCATGAACAAAATTGCGTGACTTTAACTTGACCCTATCACGTGAAGTGTTGCGTATTTTATGAATGGACCCTTACTCAGGTTTATTTTCAGATTTTTTGAAAAATTGAAACCGGGCTGAATCAGCAAGGTCAATTTTGAGAATTTACTTTAACCATTCAAATTTTGAACATTCAGGATCAAATCAAAGAAAAAGGATATGAAGCACGAATAATAATACTTTGCAACATTATTGACATTTGTCAGTCTTGCAGAATTGCAGGTTATTGCTCATGAAATCAGTTCTGATCAATTCTTGCTTTAAGACTGACTCTCGTTTAAACTACATTTTGCAAATATTTCCGGCTTGTCCATCAAAGCACCTATCTGCATGGGGAAACAAATGGTACAGACGTTGCTTCTGAAAGGGGCCACAAATATTAGTTCCTAGTTGCAAAGTGTAATATTTTTCATTGAACACTGAACTGACATGTATCGAAACTACCGTCTTTGTTGATTGCACTGATTTCAGTTTGAATCAGGTCACACAGACTTCAATGTCATGTGGCGCTGATCACAATGTCACTCGTTCCAAAGGCAAGTATTACCTGCAAATTTTACCAGAATCTGCACATAACTCGTATGAAAATAGCATGAAGAGACAGCTTTTGTTTGATAAAATTATTACCGGCACATGCTGACAAATAACATAAACGTCATACGTTACCGTAAAGCAACAGTAACGCATGACCGCTCAACCACGTAAATATTGTATTAGCTTGCACAAATATAGTAAGTACGTACTATCACTAGTTATTAACCCCAAACAAATTCCTTGAAAACAATACGTAAATAGTCAATTAGATATTGTCCTTCTGAAAAAATTTAAATAACAATGAGCGTAAGATCTCGCCGCCCTCTAAAATGATACTACAAAAAAGTTGAAAATTTCGCACTTTCACGAGGGAGAGAGCCTTCTCCTTGAGGGAATATTGGTCATCCAGTAAAGTTGCGCCTTGATACTTGTAAAAACTAACCTTCCTTTGTCATTTTTTCCTCATTTTCAAAATGCAAGTCAAGTATGAATACGAAAATAAATAAGTAAGTATAAGTAAGAATAAAAAAACAGAAAGCTCGTCAGGGTCGCTGAGGCTTTCCCCTGACAATAGGGGGCAAGTTATCTTGATTTAAGCCTGAAAATAGTGGTGCGGCGAGTAGATGATCTCTGAATCAATGCAAGCTGTTCTCCACGTCAGGGGAGCGGGGTGACAAAACAGAGATCGAAGTTGCCACACCCCGTATATTTTCCTACAAGGATGAAATTAATATTTTACATACACGGGAAAAATGGCAACCCTTACGCGGACAACTAGTCGGATTTGTGTAGTGGGAACAGTCAGCTGCTGATGAGGGGCGGGGGAGAGGGAGGGTGGTCCTGGCCGGGGGAGGAAAGAATTGTTGAATCATTTAATCTCAATTTAGCATATCGATGCGGTAGAATGGCCACCAATGCGCACTGAAGCACCCCTTGCGCAAGCTGGCAAGGGTGCAAAATCGCAAGGGGCCTCGAGATTTTAAAGGTATGCACGAGGAGTTTTTTATTAGATTTGGCAACCGAACAGGTCGCGGTTCGACCCTCAATGGGCCCCGCAAAAAAGTTGATGTTTTCAATTAGCCCATTGATGGGCCATTATTGTCTACGCTCAGTTTTATTGCGGCGTAGTCGGTCTTTATTCGTCTTCATTTTTTTTTCTCTCGATTTTTCTTCCCTTCGAAGAGAAAAAGTACTGTTCGTTATTTTTTACTTCATCGATTGCATTTTTGCTGATCTGCCTAGGACGAGATTCAAAGTTAGTAAGCTGAGAAATAATGCAGACGCAGTGGCTTGGCGTGCTTTGCGATACATCGATTTATCTGACATTTAAATCTATGGAAAAGAATCGATTTACAGGGTGTTCGCAATAAACACCTTAATCATCGATTCTTTACCATAGCTTAAAATGGGGAAATATCAATAATTGATCATTCACGCCTCGCCATTGGGCTAATTTTGATGAAAAAACACCCTAATAATCGATTCTTTATCACAGCTTCAAATGGGGGATTACCGATAAACGATCATTCATGACTCGCCACTGGGCTAATTTCGATGAGCTTTACTTCTTTTATAATTTATTAACTCATGTTCAATTTCAAAGATTGTGAAATATACTCATCTTCACATAACAAACTGCCCAGTTAACCACCTTGTTCTCTTAAAATGAAACCACATCCTGCGAGGAGACTTACAGTGATTATTTTCTCCAAATGCTATTCAACATTCACGATTTGAATGAAGATTGCTGCAGTGTAAAATTATGACAACAAGAATCAAAAGCTAGTAAAAGATGTTACCTACGATTTTGAAGCAATGAGAGGAATTAAATTAGTAAGAGATCCTTTAGGAATTATATTGATGAACTATGAGTTCCTGGACTTTTTTAAAGTTAAAAATATTTTTATGACCAACTCTAGACAGTCATAGCGAAATCGTCTCTAAATTTTCAGGTACGCATTTGTATTGTTTTACCGTACAAACTCCCAAGATATTTTGCTCGCTTATTGGTACATCAAACATGGAATTTTGGTCAATTACATGTGGAATAAAATTATGGTTCCATGGTTGATTATTTAAACTTTTCGAGTAAAAAAAGTAATAATTTAAGCAATAGGTTTATCATTCTTCGGAACTGTCTTCTTTAAAGTTCACTGCAATCATTAACTGTGTGACAAGAAACACAAATAAATTAGACCAATAAAATTAACTGATTAACAAATTTGAAAGGTACCATTCGATTTTAATATAAAAATACAATATTTACATTCATTTTTACAACACTGAAACCTTTCAAGGTTTCCTTATCATAAAATATGGCCAGGCTAATATAAAATTTTAACTTACGCCAAGTATATCGTGAGAATATACACCTAAAGTGTCAACCGTAATGTCATCCCAGAAAATTCAGATTTCAAGGCGATTGCAATTGCAATGAATGTAAACTACTAGTGTATTGCTGTCATGAGGTTTTGAAAATCTAAAATATTTACCAACAAATGTAACCGACCACAGAAAAAGAGACTGAGTCGTCTGACTGAGCCAATGTACCTGCGATTCAACCCTTGTATTTTAATTACTTATTTCTTTTTTTTTCAATTTGATTAAATCCTTAAAGCACCCTATTTTCATGCAATGATGGCATATGAATGCATTAAGTGACACCTTCATTTTGTTATCATAACTGAAAAATTGAAGACGTGCTTTGGTTTTCTATAAGGCCAGGTCTGGATGCAACTCTACGTGTTCTCAGGATGTTCCCGTTGCATACACAAGAAATTGCAGGCGCTCTGATCTTCTTGGGTGCAAGGAATGGCTGAGGTTGTTAAATTTCGAGGGTTTTGTGAGTTGCATTTACAATCGCGTTTGTCTTGCAGACCTCCGAGTTCGAATAAGCCGTGTTGCACCATATCAGCGTTGCTAAATGTTGCACATTTTCCAATAAAAACATTTACACAAAGGCATCGCAGGTGTCAATCCCGCAAATTACTACCAAGAAAATGTCCGCAATGTGCACTAATTTACAACGCTGACATGGTCATACACGACTCATCCAAATTTTAAGGATTTTATGGTAAATGCAACGTACAAAACCCTTGGGTAATATAACTACAGCCGTACAATGAACCCAAGAAAAGCAGAGCGCCTGCAATTTTCTGGGTATACAACACATACTTCCCAAGAACACGTAAAGTTGCATCCAGACCTAGCCATTTAAAAATCCAGAGCTCCTTCAATTTATTTTGCTTTCAGTAACAAAGTGCGGTAGGTAGGTAGATAGGTTTATTTGGTGCTTTTAACAATTGAGCCATTCACTCATTGCAATCATACGTCGTCGTTGCATGAATATAGGGCAAAGATTTCTTGGATTTAAATATTCCCTGACTTATCAAATGTTTAAAACATACAAATTCCCGAGATTTCCCCGGTTTTTCACCTTTTTTTGGCAGAGTTTCTGATGCAAATTCTTATCACGAACAATTCTGAGCGCTAAATATCTTGGAAAGAAGCAATTTGCAAAAAGTGCAAAAGTGCAATTTTTTAGTCGAAGGAAACAATTGCCTTACTCTTGCCAACTTATCAGGGTTGAACAAACAGCCTCGTAAAAAATGCCTCGCGCAAGATAGCGACATCACACCTGATCAACAAGTTTTCATGGTCCAGACCACAGTAATCAAATTGAAACATCTCGTTGAAATTTTCTTCAACGGTCCTTGCCTTCGTGAAAAAAACATTAACAAGTTTTGAAAAAAAAATTTAAAAAAAAAAAACCTGCACGTTAGTTTTTCTCGGCAAAATGAGAAACTATACAGTAAATTGCAACATTACAAGTGAAGGTGGGCTTTTTTTCGACTGTATTCATCAAAGTTGTCCTCTGAGGTCTTCGTTCTCATGGATGATCGAATAAGATTCGTTACGTGTGATACAAATCACCTGACCGTGTCATCTCAATCAATGTTCGTAAGCTGAGTCAAGAATATCTTCACAAGGTATGCAGACAGTACGTCTACAGAAAAAAGGGCTACCTTTTTCAGTCTACCGTCAAAACGTCTACATTAAAATGCCTACTGAAATTATGTCTACAGATTAATATGTCTACGCTATTAAAATGTCTACGGTTTGTTTGCCCACTTAGAAAATGTCAAAACATTTATGTTGACCACTGAAAATATATAAAATATATTCATAAAATAAAAAAAATAAATAAAATATATATAAAATACACATGATATTTATAGGGTCAATTATTCGCGAAATAAGACTCACAATTTTTACGCATCAGCTTCTGCAGCATCCACAGCCTCGTCCTGTCTTTGGGGATACACTTTCAAATGAGATTCTTACCAGACGATATAAATACGTACTTTGACATTTTTGGAGTAGGCGGTCAAACCAAAGACATTTTAATACCGCAGACATATTTTCCTATAGACACTATTTTATAGGCATTTTCATGCAGACATTTTGACTGTAGACCAAAAAAGGTAGCCTTTTTTTTGTAGCCCTTTTTCTTTTAGACCTACTGTCCGTAAACCCTTCACAACCCGAGGGACACGCGAGTTACACCATCCCGTTTCAAATTTCGATACCGGGCCAACGCCCACAGGGGGAAGTACTTGCAGTAACCATGGTAACGAAGGAACGGAAGACTAGGGGCACATGCCCCCTGGTAGCTCTCTTCCTCCCAGAGCCCGTGATCGCACTGTGTCCGGAGCAACCATTCAACACCACGTGCCACCGCAGGATGACGCACCGCGCCACCAGCCATCAGCGCCAACAAGGCCCACGCTGTCTGTGTAGGGGCGCTGGGGGCCGTCACGTAGCACCCCCGCTCGTAAGTGATCCCGTCCTCCCCCCAACCACCATCCTCGTTCTGCACAGAAACAAGGAACTCCACCGCAAGCTTAACCCTCGGATCATCATGCGACATACCAATAGCATTCAGCCCACTCAAAGCACTCCAAGCTCCATGGGTATAGTTCAGTCCCCACTGACACCACCATTTCCCATCGGGTTCTTGCTTCCTCAGGACGAACTCCATCCCACGCCGCGCTGCCTCGCTCGTCGCCGGCAGCTCGCCCAGTTGCCCGAGCAACGACAGACACCTCCCGGTCACGTCGGCGGTCTGATCGTCGATGAGGAACCCGTGGTCCGCGAAAGGGATCTGGTTGAGCCAGTGGTGGTCGTTGTCGGCGTCGTAGGTGCCCCAACCCCCGTTGTGGCTCTGCATGCCGATCGCCCAGTCGCGTCCCCGCTTGATTGCCTCCGCGAAGGCTTCCGGATCAGCGCGGTGCATGGCCATGACGGTCACCACCGTGTCGTCGATGTCCGGGTAGACGGAGTTCCCGAACTGGAACGGCCAGCCGCCCGGGAGCAGGTGGGGTCGGGTGTAGGTCCAATCGCCCCGCACGTCGAGGATCTGCTTCGGGCGCAACCATTCCAGACCGCGCATGGCCGCCTTCTTGGCGTGGGGTTCCTGCGTTTCTAGGAGGGCATGCGCTACGATCGTCGTATCCCACATCGGTGACCTGACAACCTGCAAATATGCTTCCTTTTCACGGACAAGAACCAGCGACTCGATGAAATCTCTCAAGATGACGCGGGTGGGGTGGGTGGCAGGGTAACCGAGAGCTGCGAACAAGAGCAAGGCGTTGATGGAATTGAAAGAGGCACCGTAGAGGCCTTCCCCTGGACGAATGCGCTCCTCCAGCCACGCTACTGCCTTGTCGATCGCTCTCTGGCGCAGGCTCGAAGGGATGTATGGCTGGACCATAAGCAGGGCAGTGTTCATGGCGCTGAAGAAGGAGTGCATGACGATGCTGTGATGAGGCCCCCGCGGCGGCAATGCGACTTTCTCGGGTGGTCCGTTGAACAGTTCGTCGATGCGGACGCCGTGCGGTTTCCCGACCGCCCGCGTGGCGCTGAGGACCGCCAATGGGACGATGACGGTACGGGACCAACACGCCACCTTCGACAGGTGGAACGGGAACCACTGCGGCAGGAACATGATCTCGACGGGTATGAGAGGGATTGCGTCCCAAGGGATGATGCCTTGCAGGGCGAGCCGGATGCGTATGAACTTGTTGGAGGCCTCGGCTCCGCCTGCTGCCATGATCGCCTTGCGCGCCCGGACCATGTGCTCCTCCTCTGGCGAGTCGCCGATCATCTTCAGGGCCAGGTAGCCCATCACACTGGAGTTGACCGACGTTGGGCCGTTGGCGAAGACCGGCCATCCTCCGTCCGGGAGTTGGATTCGACGGAGATAGCACCCCATCTTCTGTTCGAGCTCGACGTTTGGTGTTTCGCCGAGGAAGCGGACTGTGAATATGTATTCTGCGGCGTAGGTTGCGTCTGATTCGAAGTCCCATTCCCAGAAGCCTTCTTCTTTCTGTAGGGCCAGGATTGCGTCTGTGGCTTGTTTCAAGTGAGACTCCAGCGCATCCGGGTCACTTAACAAATTAGGGTACTCGACGATTGTTTCAGTTCTTGTACAGGGCGCCATTTTGTCGGCTCCGGTGGTTTCTTCCTGTTGCGACTTCTTGCTAGACCTATGGGACAGAAATGAAAACATGATTCAATTATTTCAAATATTTCGATTTAGTTTCTTTTTAGTACAAATAGGTAATTATACATACAATAAAGCTTATAAACAAATAACAGAAACACAAAAAACCAAAAAAATACACCCACTAATGACACTAACTTGGCCATTGTGTCGGGTGGAGCCTCTTTGTTTTTTTTCCAGTTTTTATTTTATTTTATTTTGTTAAATTATTTGATTATGATCATTGACGGCGCTTCTAACGTTGAGTTGTAACTGGTGACTAAATTGCCCCTGAGAGGTTTTGTTACACATGAGAGATGGCTTAGTTAAAGATGCGTATCTCTGATTGCGTTGTTGCAAATCTTCGTAAATGTTTTCTTATGTAAGAGCAAAATAAGCAATGAGTAATCTGAACTATACTCGTAAATTTTCCATATTTTTCAAAAATATTCACCGAAATTTTCAAAGAGATATTTTGGTTTGTGTTCTTTTGGGGAAAAATCAAAATCGGAGATTTTTAAACACTGCTAAAGAGAGACACATTTCTCGACTTCGGCCATTTACAGGTTCCAATGATCATTTTTTCGGGTGTTTTCCTTGTCAATAGAATTTCAAGGGTAAAATTGCACGGAAATCACGATAAGTACATCAAAAGAGTTGAATATTCGCTTCTTATCACAAATTTCCTAGCGTTCGTAAGACGCATTTTTTCCTCGTCTATGTGGGAATTATATCATCGGTGTCGACAACCAAATTAGTGGAGAAAGAGATGTCATGGAACCTTTTCGGCCTATCACCCTACACATTTACACAGGCTCGGGCTGGCCATAAGGCCAATCTGCCATTCGCAGATACGCCCTCTTGGCGCGCCGAAAACGCGCCACTCTAACAGGTAGCAAAATAAGAAGAGAAAAAAAGTACGACCGAGAATATATGCGGCAAATTCCTAAAATGAACGGAAGAAGAGAGAGTTAGGAGTAAAGAAAGGTGCTTTTACGCATGATAGTCATGAATGGAGGTTCAAGAACTACTTTCTGAAGCGTAAACACCTTTCTGTGAAATTTTCACCGTTTCGTTGACATACATGCGCTTCATCATCCCCCTCTTTCATTCGCTATGTGTAACTCCCTTAGAAGCGATGGTCGGTTCGATTTTTACACATACTCACTCTCTATAGACTCTTGAGAGACCTTTAAACATATTTCAAAATGACTATTGGTTTGGACATACCATAGCGTATCTCGGGCAAACATGCCCGACGGTGCAGAGATACAACTATTCGTACTTGATGGACGTCCGTGCTGCATCTGAAAAATTGCAGGCGTGATGACGCGAAGCTTGCGCTCTCAATGCTCTACTATACGCTGTCAATTAGGTGTCCCTCAGATTGGGAGACAAAATTTAAAAAAGGGGCCCGAATGCATCTCTCCTACCTTCGCCTGTGTTACTCACGTAGTGCTTGAACCACCATTACGAATAAGACAAACGGAAACAAACACAATATGGAAATAAAGCGAGGGAAAGGATGCGCTTTCACGACATTTAAATAGTAAACGCGATACAACTGTTCGCGCAAGATTGATGTCCACATTCCATATGAAAAAATTAAGACGCTATGGCGTGAGTCGTAAACTCATATTGCTCTCCTCCATGCTATTAGTTTGAGGCACCATCACGAATAAGACAAACGGAAACAAACACAATATGGAAATAAAGCGAGGGAAAGGATGCGCGTTCACGACGGCGCAGAGATACAACTATTCGTACTTGATGGACGTCCGTGCTGCATCTGAAAAATTGAAGGCGCGATGACGCGAAGCGTGGGCTCTCGATGCTCTGCTATAAGCTGTCACTGAGGTGTCGCTCAGATTCGGGAGAAAAGTTAAAAAAGAGGCCCGAACACATCTCTCCTACCTTCGGCTGTGTTGATACTCGTTGTTTCTTCTTTTTTCAGGTTCTTGTGTGATTTTCTTTTAGGGTGGATTTGCAGACCCAAGTGTTAAGCTCATGTAAACCGCAGCACTAGATCGGTTCTTGTGGAAATAATGGTGCTTGGATGCGTCTAGTGGCTTTAATTTTTTATGTTTTTTTTTTTTAATTTTAGAAGTCAGTCGGTTAATTCAATACGTTCAATTCTGCAATTTTTACTCAATAAAATTAATAAACTTTGAACCTGAAAATAGCGTAAACTTGCGCTGCTTTGCCAAAATTTTCTGAACCACTCTCTACGGGGGAGGATACGCTACCAGAAAATATCACATTCCGCCTTTTTAACCAGTTAAGGGTCTACGCCCTCAGATGCGAGCCAGTCCGATTGTGCGTTTACACATAATACACATCATGGAATGTCAGGATATGTTATACCCTTCGGTCGATCCAGAAAAAAATATCAAATCGAGGGAGACAGCGATAAAGGCCCCGAGCGCAGTACCACTTTTGAATTACATCTCTTACAATATTGCAGATTGCCAGAAATGCATAACGATCGAGTAGTTCATCATGCAATTATGGTTTTTTGTTTGTTTTAGCAATACCATTTCGTAGAGGAAAACTTACTATTCAAATTATGGAGCCCTCAAAATTACACCTGTGAACCCTCCTTCCCTCTGCCGATTAGGTTTTTTCTTCTTTTTTTCTGCCGATTGCTCAAAATTAAGAAGAGCGGTTGTCTGAAGGTGTATGAAAATCAGTGTAGTCAGTGAAAGTGTGTTTGTGTTAAAAAAGTCTTCATAAGTTAATTAAAAAGTTTCGACCCTTTTTAAATTTCCTTTTAGGTCATAAATTGACCGTAGCGCATTATTAAATGCTGATTACTTAAAAGTATATATTTTAAGGTTGAACCATGAAAAATATTTTGGAGTCAAAGCTGGTGTAAATCGTCAAAAGTAACAATTCATCCTCACAATCAGTTCAGATTACGTTGATAACATCAAGCAAATTCTTGAATATATTTTCTAGCCTATACCACAAAAATAACAAGGATAAATATCAATAATTCTATACCCTCTGCGTGTTCATTCTGCTTCTTCCAAATTTTCGGTCAGAAATTCATTCAATATTACTAAACCTCTCGCGATATGCTCTGTTTCAAGACCTCCGCAGCAAGACATAACACGGTAAATGGGTGAAACAGTGGCCGGCGTAGGCGAAAGGTGGAGTGAAAAAAGTATTCTTCAAATTTTTGAACGAGACTCAAAAATAATTCCCGAAGTTTCAGCATAAGCAGAAGATAAAAAATGGTATAGAAAAAGACATTAACTCGCCGTCTGTAAAATCTAAATTATGGATTATGAATGTCACCGCTTCCAAACTCCGATCGTTGAATAATAAGAGGAAAAAACTTAGCGCGGTGCAGCGTTCTTTTATGAAAGCGTGTTATCTATGAAGCAAAATACCTAATCGGCAAATGGTGGAAAATTGCTGTGTTGAAGGCCGAACAACCCTGTGGCCAGAACTAGTAGCAAGAGAGGGGGAGGAAAAATTTTATGTAGATGGAGGGGAGGTGGGTGACACTATATGTCACGTTAGTTGGATGGTGGGGCCTCTCACAAAAAATGAAAAATTACTTTAAAAGAGAAATTTCTAATTGCGTTCTTTATTCACTCCACGACAATGTATCTCTTATTTCTCAACGTTTATATATTTAGCATCAAAACATGTAATCTAGTGTTATTAATGATTGTTAAAATCCAAATATTAAATGATGGATTGGCAGGTCATGATCAGAGTTGAAGACGGTAAAAGTTATTGTTTTTATAAGAGCACATTCTGCAGAAAATTCCTGACTGGAAAAATTATCTACAAATGGATAATTATGAATAGTTGAAATCTGCTAAAGGGGGAAATTCATGCTGCTAAAGTTTTATTTTCAGATCTCTGAGTATATAGCTTAAGTAACGCATTAAGTACCTATTAAATACAATGGCTTTTTCTGACAGAAAAGTTAGAGAAAGCAGGATTTACCCAAATGAGATGATGCCTATGGAGATAACATGCAGCACAATGCAATTTCGTAAATTCGAGATTTGTATCTTGCTTTGTGTGCCAATGTCGCCAACCCAGAAAATTATGTTGAAATTCATACCGAAGCTTTTGATGGGTTTTTTCCTCTCCAATTTTTCCTCCCTGAAGCTGCCAGGTGAGATTCATAGCGCAAAATATCAAATATATATCAGTGGCTTGGCGTGCTTTGCGACATATCGATTGAGCTGTCATTTAAATATGTGGAAAAGATCGATATACAGGGTGTTTGCAGCAAACACCTTAATAATCGATTCTTTACCATAGGTTTAAACGGCATAACAATCGATAGATCGCAATTCACGCCACGCCACTGAAATATATTTTACCCGAAATTTCTGTGGCGAAGGATTTCTTTCACAGTACACATGAATAAAAAACCACTAATTGAATAGTGCATACAGTCCCATTCCACTCCCTCTGAAAAGAGAGCTTAAGGGCTTTTTTTGGGCCGCACCTCGCACGAGAGTCCGGAATCCAGGTTTCATACGAAATGGGTCGAACTTTAAACTGAGCAAAATTGAAATAATGGTATCATATCATAACAAAGAATCTACTTGGATCGTGCTTTATAAATATTGATCACTTTGATCCTGATCGGTATTGGTATCAGTAGGGATGATAAAGAAGCTCGCCCAGCTTTTTCGAATCATTGATTAATAAAAAATTCAGTACGGCGTTCTCTGCGAAGGTATTAGACATGATGTCCCTCGGGGGAAAAAATGATTGAAAAATAATGATGTTCGCGTTAGGCAAATTGTTTCTACGGATCTGGGTGTTTCTTTAGAAATTTTAAAACCACCTAGTGTGGTACACAACATAAAAAAAAAAAAAAAAAAAAAAAAAAAAAATTGGCTAAATTTTTACACAAGAAGTCACTCACTTGTTTTTTCTCCTGCGGACCTCACTTGAACACAATGGGGTCTTGGAGTCAACTGTGGACGGAGTAGTCTATCATGGGCAAAAAAGCAAGTGCATCTATAATAGTGAATCGATGAGTTATCTAATAGGAAAGTGATAACAGAAAATCCCTGTCTGAGATCGTTGCTTCGTGCCTGGACCAAGTAGGTCGCCACCGTTGCCAGGTACAATTACATTAATCAATGTGGATTTTTCATTTTGAGATTGAAGGATCGTGCATTAAACAAAATCATGTCAATCGATTAGTATTATTGGATGCAGTTCGGTTAAAGTTTTAATTAGCATCAGAAAATCCCAGGAAAAGCTCAATTATTGCTATGATTAACAGATCGGTTAGGCTACTAAGAACACGATTACATATTTTTTCATCTGCTTATCTATGATCCGATTGTGTCGAGAGAAATGTGACAAAACTGGTCGTCTTCAAACTTTTTTTTTACATGCGTAGATAATTATATATATTCAGCAAATATGATAGAGACAAGATTATTCGCGGTGATCTACTGTGAAGGCACCGCGGGTATTAAGAAATACGGCTTGAAAACTTTAAACCGGAAATTCTTCATTCGTGAAAAATGCCTTAAAAATAAATGTTACGGCCAGCAGACTGATTATTGAAATTGATGGACAAAGCGATAGACAAAGAAGACATAGGGAGATCCCATTGGTTGCAACTGGTAGTACTTACAGACCAAGAGGGAAAATGATGGACTAACCGTTGGGTCTCTTGTCAGTTGCCGTTGGTTAGTCTATTACTTACCTCCTTTGTCCATTGCAGCCACCCGCTTCCACCAATAGGATCCCACCATATCCCTTTTCTCTTCTTTGTCTATAGCTTTGTCTATCAATTTCAAAGATCGGTCCGCGGATCCAGCAAATTCTTTGCCCTGACCACGATAGATGATTGATTACAGACTTAAGAGCCGGCACTCGAAAGGATTTACGAAGGTGTCTTGACATAAAAAAAGCTCCTTCTGCAGACAGCTTGATTGAAAGCATTATGTGTCCAATTTGTTGTCAAATTTGGAGGCTATGTTGTTAACCGAACTTACGGTCAACTGCAGTCCATAATATTTGGACCCCTTTAATTTTTTTCAGAGAAGGGGGAGGGGTGCGGCCCGGAAGTCAAAAAAAAGCCCCTAAATTTTCCTTGTGGAACTACAAATCACAGAAAAGCCTGGAGGGATTTTCCGACGTCGCCTCTCTGTGAACACTGCTGGATTGACTTCCCTCATTCATTAGCCACTCTGAAAAATCGTCGCCCTCCATGACAGAAGGGCGTAACTATACTCTGCAATGAACCCTGTCGTCCATACAACTCAATGCTTTTCCGGGCTCATCTCCATTTGTAGTTGCGCCCTCGTGTCAGCTAAGCGACGAAATGACTTAACGCTGTTAGAAGTGCGAAATCATGTATCTCCGTTTGCGACGTTACAGCCTGCCTTTGTTTTCCTTCGGCAAACGAGATACTGAAATGTTTTTAAAAAGTCCTTGATTTTTCCTCGCCACTAACAGAGTATTCCATGTAAATTTCAAGATATATAGTTGACTCGTTTCTCTTGAAGAAAATAAAATAGGATTGAAAATTTGGAAACATCGCAATAGAGACATGTGGTTTCACACTTTGGTCATCAATATGTGGTAAGCATAATTAACGTACAAAGATGTCTATTGCTGTTAATCTTGTAACTGTATGTAATTGAGTACTCGTCACTTCATAAATTTCTAAGAATTTTATTTCATGATACGGTCGTTGAGCCAAGTGAATTTGCACGGTAAAGTTTGCATTGAATTAAATTAAAGGTTTACTGTCTTGAGACTGCATAGAATTCAGCTCACTTGTAAACTTGATCTGTGCTCTTAGATAATCGGGTGGAGCATGACTGTTCGAGAGAAAACATCTCAAATTATGTACTTGGTCCTTATCAAAAGTGAAAGCATTACTCTGTCAATGTCAAGGTCGTCATGAGAAAAAAATAACAGGAAAACTGAGTATTCTTAGAGCCTTGATCATATCACATGTCAGTGAGACCATACATATTATTAGGAGGCTTTATAAGAGGCAGGGAGGGGAACGGGATAATGATTAATAATAACGCACCAGACCACTGCCCATTATTTTAAGCATATTCAAAAGAGAATTTTAAATTCGTGATGAAACTTGGGATTCACTACCAATATTTCCTTCAAAACATTTCCGAGACTAGAAATTTAATTTTTCTTTTTCTTTTTTTAAAGTTTTTCATTAGGAGACAACAACTCGCATAAGGGCTAAAAACTGTAGTATCACCAAACTACGGAAATTGGCAGGAATCGTCAGTTATTCAAAGACTACTTGAATCATCGCCATTAAAGTAAGGGCCCGTAATTGAAATTACGACTTATCCCTCTGATTCAAAATCGTTATAATTTCCCTCTTCCTTTAGAATGCTGACCAATTTTCAAACTTTAAGTTTCAAACTTGAACTGTCACATCTATTAAAGAATGGCCATATTAACACATGATGTATGCTACTTTTTTAAATTAAAACTTAAGGAATGTACTAAACATTTGAAACTAAGTAATTGAATCACATGATTTTCTTTAATTCTAAGGAATGATGCATTTAGTTCATTTTTAAAGGCGGTTTCACATCATAAAAAACGTCAAATGTTCGTTTTTCATAGAACGAAAAACGTGTTTATTTAATGCCTTTCACTTTCTTATCTTGATGAGCTATGGTTTCATAATACCACTATTCGAGCATGAGTGTACCCGCTCTTGCCTACTTACTCAGTTGAAGGCGACTCATTGCTTCCAGGACTTTATGTCCACCTACCTTTCGTCCATTAGATTTTCCACCGCTATTTATGTCCACTAAACGTTAAGTCCAGTCTTTATGAAGTCTACATGATTTAATGTCCAACCATGAATATGTCCAAAATTGTCCAAATTGTGGACATAACATGTCCACAATTTTTTCTTCTCATTTAAAAGACAGGAACCACCTCAAAAATAAATGCATACTACTATTACCTTCATTCTAAAAAACATTTCATTCATGAATCAAGTCATGAAAGAGAACAGACTCTAGGAGCAGATAAAAACATATGTTCATGTGTATACTGTACGGATATGATAAGATGAAAACCAAAGCGGGAGCCTAGGAAACGCTCTAATGCCAAATTAAACATTTTTCAGTAACAGATGCAGTCAAAATTGAGTGTCCTCCTTAACTAGTTATTTCGTGCGCCTTCAATCTTGTAGGATACTGTTCAACACCTCTGACGCGAAATAGATGCTTAAAGCGTTGCGGCACGGCAGGCAACCAGCGTGACACGCGCATAGGCGCCTACAAACCTAACGGGATACTTCAAACTTGCGCAATGCGTGAAGTATCCCGTTAGGTTTGTAGGCGCCAGTGCGCGTTCTGCGCTGCTAACACGCCGCTCCGCTCTGCTCTGTGTTAGGCTCTAATATTTAAACTCGCGGAGTCAGCGTTTTTCAACTCATGATTTTGAAATATTTGCACTCTCTGCATTGATTATTCCCTTTTAAACTGATGAAAAAGAAATATGTACTACTGGAAAATATAGTGTGTTTTTTGTAAATATAATAGTGATTCCGTGTCAAAAATGATTTCCAAAGCATTCAAATTTATTCTTTTATGTTTTTGGCCTTTACTGTGCTGCAGCGTGGTGTAAGCGCAACTGAAGGCTCAAAATTGGACGTATTTGACTCTAGAAGGTCGATGTACAATTAAGTTAAAAACAAAAAATTGCGTGCTTCTAGTTTTTTCTTCTTTTATTAATTTTTGTATAGTTTCTTTCATCACAACTACGGCTCATTGAGATTTATATCTATGCCATTCCTTGGAAAATGTTTTACAAATATTTACCACGTTTTAAAAATGTAAATATTTTTAAAATGAAGTAATCAATTTCATCCAAAAAAAAAAAAAGAATGTACGAGGGGCGTTCAATAAGTAAGTATCCCCCCTCTCTAAAATCCATAAGAATGGACCAATCTTAAAAAACTTGGGCTCAAAATCTTCCTTAGGATATTTTGAGTTCAACAAAACAAACCGCAACAAAATCGGACGATATGCGGCCGAACGCGAGCCGTTTGAACGCGCCGAGGTGCTCGACGCTCCCGCCGAATCTGCGAGGATTTGAAGTCCGCTACAGGAGAAGAGCTTCTCTGCCAAAGCCTCAGTCGTTCATCACTGACGAAAAATCAAAGAAATTTTTGTAGAATAAGGGGCTTACCTCACTTCTCCACATAACCAGCTCGATCCAAGCAAGTCTGATACTGAGACTAAGACTAAGAGAACAGCTTTTGGATGCCTCGTGCGTGGAAGTCTTTCAGCTGACCGCGGATGAAAGAGTGGACGGCTTGTTTGACCTCTTCCACTGATTCAAAATTAACTCCTCCGAGTTCAGATTTCAGATACGATAATAAATGGCAAACCAGACCACCATTTATTCCCGTTCCTGAAATCTGAACTCGGAGGAGTTAATTTTGAATCAGTGGAAGAGGTCAAACAAGCCGTCCACTCTTTCATCCGCGGTCAGCTGAAAGACTTCCACGCACGAGGCATCCAAAAGCTGTTCTCTTAGTCTTAGTCTCAGTATCAGACTTGCTTGGATCGAGCTGGTTATGTGGAGAAGTGAGGTAAGCCCCTTATTCTACAAAAATTTCTTTGATTTTTCGTCAGTGATGAACGACTGAGGCTTTGGCAGAGAAGCTCTTCTCCTGTAGCGGACTTCAAATCCTCGCAGATTCGGCGGGAGCGTCGAGCACCTCGGCGCGTTCAAACGGCTCGCGTTCGGCCGCACATAGTCCGATTTTGTTGCGGTTTGTTTTGTTGAACTCAAAATATCCTAAGGAAGATTTTGAGCCCAAGTTTTTTAAGATTGGTCCATTCTTATGGATTTTAGAGAGGGGGGATACTTACTTATTGAACGCCCCTCGTACATTGAAGGCATATTTTATATCGGAAATTTCAAGGATAAAAATGAAACCAAGTATTTAAAAAAGACAACTTGAAAAGATGAGTCAAAAGAAGAAATTAAAATTTCATTTAAAATTTGAGTTACGATAACAACACCTCACTCTCTCTTAATTTTCTCATTTCGATATTGTCAATATAATTTTACACACGGACTAAAATATAACGCTTGAATTTGATTTTAGTGGACTTTACTTAGTGGACGTTTAAGTAATGGACTTAATAATAGTGTGGGCTTTAGAACTGTGCACGTAAAAATTGTGGACGAAAATTCTGTGGACGAAAATTCTGTGGACGAAAATTCTGTGGACGTAAAAAAAGTGGACATAAAGTCCGTGTACCGAATCATTATTCGACACGATTCTTCCATGAAGATTGACAGTTCTTATGACTGAATTCAAAGAATGAGTATGTATCTCAATTGAAACGCTCAAAAATTTTCGATAAAGGTTTATTGTTTCTAGGAAAATCGATCGAAACGTTTCGTTGCAATTTTGTACAATTTTGTAGAATAAGGAGAGAGGATTCGCAGAAAATTTTAATAGAGACTGTTTATTAGTTTCCCTTTAAAAAATAAAACATTAACGGAGACTTACAATGTCACCGAGGTATACGCATTTTTCGACATTAAATATCGTTTAATGTACTTATAGAATTCAATACGATTTTCCAAAATTCTGATCCTTTTTTTTCGAGCAGCTGAGCACTGAAGGGTGTTTTTTGCATATACTTTCCCACTAAAATTGTGAATTATTGTCAATTTTTCATGCAAATCAAAAACTATTTTAGCAACTGAAAATAAGCGAAACAACAGGTATGGATTAATTCTAGTGGGAGGGCATTACCTGCCTTCCTCCCATTTAGACCAGGAAATTTTTGTAAGACTATAGAATTGATTGATAATGGTCCAGTTTAGTTGATATTTCCGAAATCTCTTGACTTCTGAGGAAACTTTTGACAATTTTGGCGTGAAAATATGCGTTTGGCATCTTGCGGTGTCGGAACATTCCAGTAAAAGTTCTGTGCTCGCAATTACTGGTCTCCTTGAAATGTTCTATGCATATAAAAAATATGGAGAGAAAAAAAAACAAATAGGCATCGTTTTGATTTAATCAAAAACCGGTATTTGAGATTTTAATATAATTTAAAAAACTCGATGTGAATTGAAACACATTGGACACTTTAAAATTTGGTATAGGTCCCTGTAATCTGCCGGCCTATTATCAAGATGCGTTACAAAAAAGATGAGTATGGTTTAAAATAAACACAAAGAATATCACATATAATCAAAGTCAAAACCTGCAAAGATTTCAACGAACATTTTTCATAGCAAAATAGCCCATCTTTTTTCTTTACAAAATACTGCTGTTCACTCTTAATAGTCTTTGAAAATTAAAAAAATCTAATCAACTTACTCGAATGTAGCTTTCTATAAACGACTGAGGCTACCATTATAATTATACATCATTTGTTTTTTTCAAATTTTTCAGGTAGAATTTAAAATTCGTTAAATCGGTTTCTGTTAGACAGGTTTCAGTCCAGAAACTCATGAGCCCTGGCTTTGGTTGATTGCGCAGAACGCTAAGGCTTATGAGTTTTTGGGCTTAGGCCCGTCGAACAGAAACAGATCCAATTGGGCCACGTTTAGCAGAAAGGAACCAAGCCACATCATCTTTTCGTGAAAACGGTTGTGCGGATTTTTCTGAAAATTTCGATGATTCATGCATAGCACGAAGCAAATTCCCTAAATTTTTCGAAAGAATCCACACAAACGTTCTCTCGTAAAATATTAAATTACCCAGTAAAATTTGGAAATAGCTGGTGCGGCTTGGTTCCCTTGCTGATAGATACAATTTCACCGATACTAACGTACTAAGGAAGAACGCCGTATGTACATTCGAGAGTTGATAAATTTGCCCGGATAAAACATGTATATTTGACGAAATTTATGCATATATTTCCTCGAAATTTGCGCATATTTTAGATCAAAGCGCGAACAAAATAGTCTGAAAAATTTAAAGAAAAATATTTACAGTTTCCCCCAAATAAAATCGTATTTTATCAGAGGAGATTTGGCAACGCCTGAAGGTTAATACGGTGTTTTTTCTTAGCATGGCAGGATACCAAATCAAGGAGGTCCTCATATCCCTGGCGCCACGCGGGTTACACCATCCCGCTTCAAGTTCCGATACCGCGCCAGCGCCCATAGGGGGAAGTACTGGTGGTAGCCATGGAAGATAAGGAACGGAAGTCTCGCGGCGCAACACTCGTTCGAGGAATCATCCTCCCAGACGCCATGGTCGCACTGCGTTCGGAGCAACCACTCAACACCACGCCCCACCGCAGGATGGTGGACCGCGCCCCCTGCCATAAGCCCCAGAAGCGCCCACGCGGTTTGGGTCGGGCCGCTGGGCGCCCCCACATAGCACTCTCGCTCGTAGCTTATCGGATCCTCCCCCCACCCACCATCCTCATTCTGCACCGAGACGAGCCACTCAACCGCACGCTTGACCCGCGGATCCTCATGCGAGACACCCATAGAGTTCAACGCACTCAACCCGAACCAAGTCCCATGGGTGTAGTTCACCCCCCACTGACCCCACCATTTCCCATCGGGTTCTTGCTCCTTCAGGACGAACGCCAGCCCACGACGAGACACCTCACTCGTCTCCGGTAGCTCGCCCGATTGCCCGAGCATGCAGAGGCACCTCCCGGTCACGTCTGCGGTTGGCGGATCGATGAGGAAACCTTGATCCGAGAACGGGACTTGCTTCAGCCAGAGGTCAGTGTTGTCCACCTCGAAAGAGGCCCAACCTCCGTTGGCGGTCTGCATGCCGACCACCCAGTCACGCCCGCGTTGTATCGCCTCCGCGAAGGCTACCGGGTCCGCGCGGTGCATGGCCATCAAAACCATCGCCGTGTCGTCGAGGTCGGGGTACGATTTGTTGCCGTACTGGAACGGCCAGCCTCCCGGGAGGAGGTTCGGCTTCTTGACTGCCCAATCGCCAGCAACGTCGAGGATCTGCCGCCGGCGCAGCCATTCCAGACCACGCAGCGCGGCCTTTTCAGCGTGGAGGTCACGCGTTTCTAAGAGAGTATGCGCAACTAACGCCGTGTCCCATGTCGGAGACGCGCAGATTTGTAAATAAGCCTCGTCTTCGCGGAAGAAGAGTAACGACTCGATGAAATTCCGCAAGGCGACGCGGGGTGGGTGGGTTGCCGGGTAACCGAGCGCGTCGAACATGAGAAGAGCGTTCACAGAGTTGAACGATGCGGCGAAGAGACCTTCCCCTGGCCGCACGTGTTCCTCGACCCACTCTACCGCTTTGTCGATGGCACGCTGACGCAATTTCGGCGAGAGCCGCGGTTCGATCTGGTGCAAGACGGTGTTCACGGAGCGGAATAACGAAAACCAAAGGGTATTCTGGTGTGGCGCCTGAGGTAGCAGCCCGACCTTCTCGGGTGGAGTGTGGAATAGCTCGTCGATGCGGACACCGTGGGGTTGCCGTGGGTGCGCTCGCTTGGCCTGGAGGACCGATAATGGTATGATGATGGTCCGAGCCCAGCATGCCACCTTCGATAAGTGGAATACGAACCACTTCGGTAGGAGAATCATCTCGACGGGCAGGATAGGGAGGGCCTCCCAGGGGAGGATGCCAACCCAGCAGAGTCGTATTCGAGCGAATACGTTGGCGGTTTCGGCGCCGCCCGCTGCCAGGATGGCCTTCCGCGCCCGGACCATGTGTTCGGCGTCCGGCGAGTCGCCGATCATCTTGAGGGCCAAGTAGGCGAGGACACTCGCGTTGACCGAGGTTGGGCCTTTCTTGAAGTGCGGCCACCCGCCGTCCGGGAGTTGGATGCCGCGCAGGTAGCGCCCCATCTTCTGTTCGAGTTCGATGTCGGGTGTCTCGCCCAGGAAGCGGACCATGAAGATGTAGTCGGCTGGGTACATGGCGTCTGCTTCGTACTCGTAGCACCAGTGGCCGTCCTCTCTCTGTGCGGCGAGAATGGCGTTCGTTGCCTGTTTTATGCGAATATCCATCGCTTCCAAGTCGCTAGGTGAGGTTGTGTCCTCGACTGGTGAGGTTATGTCCTCGACTGGTGAGGTTGTGTCCTCGACTGGTGAGGTTGTGTCCTCGACTGGTGAGGTTGTGTCCTCGACTGGTGAGGTTATGTCCTCGACTGGTGAGGTTATGTCCTCGACTGGTGTGGTTTTGTTCTCGACTGGTGAGGTTGTGTCCTCGACTGGTGATGTTTCCGTGTCTGTCGCCATTGTGTTGGTTTCAGTGTAACTTTCCTCCTGGTGGCTTTTTCACCTGCACAGTAAGAAAAAGTAACTAAAATTGTGTGTTAATATGAGAAGTAGAACAGAAAGTAACCTAAAGGTGCCGTAATCTATTTTTATCATTGTCAGTTTTTCTTTGAGTCCCATTGACTAAATCTTCGAGTTGAACATTTGCAAGCTCGTTGAAAATCAGGCGAAAACCGCAAGGATCAAACTTGGCTCGCATTGGTGCGACAATCGAATGCGATAGCTCCAAACTCGCAAGTCACAAACTTTGAGTGATATCGAAAAAGACAAGAGTACATTGGTTTAGCAAGACTCATTTTTTATCCTCAGGAGTCTCAGGTTTTGGTCAAATTAACCACAAATTTGGTTGAGCTAACCGAGGAAAAAGCAACTCAAAGTAACCCAAAGTAACCATAAACACGGACATTTTTAACAGTATGTTACAAAAAAAGTTGCATCGTAATGCATGCAAGACGGACAATAATAAATTGCAATTACGTATGGTAAAATTATTGCTACTGAATCGAAGCATTGTCCATTTCGCCTATCTTCTAACTAAATGAACAACTCTTGTTGAAATTTATTACGATAAGATTAAAGTAAGTTGGAATTTTTTTTTTCCATTGAAAATTGCCTATTCTTATTATACATGAACTTATCTAGTCGAGTGTTTAAAAGCGGCACTACAGACTACAAGATGTGAAAATATTGCAATTTAGATGGGGGGGGGGGAACTCATAATTTTATCACATTAAGTGGAATTTTTATTTCAATATTTTCATGCCACAAAGACTCAGTGCAATATTTGACTCACGTAAACGTTTGTTTTTTCTCCGAAAAGGCTTTAGAGGTTTTTTTTCAAAAAAAGTTCGCTGGAAAGAATCGGCTCCATGGGGAGGGGAGCAAAAATGCCTCCGAGACCTCCGAAAAGAGTCATAATTGTACGAATTCATATCCAGCATATGACGAGAAATACGGAGGCGCCGCACCGTGGATCGAGTCAATATGAGAGGTCGGACGAAATTTGGAAACTTTGAACGCTTATAACTCCGTTTATACTAAATTTTGAGGCTCTAAAAATGGTTTCATTGGTTTCCTCGTGAAATTTACTTCGTAAAGCACCCCTTGGAATGTAAAATGTTACGAAATAAACATAAAAATTTTCAGTTTTAGTAAAAAATTTCATGCCCAACCTCTCTAATTGACTCGATCCACTGTGCGCCGGCGCCGATAAAATATATCTGTTCTCTGATTTTTCCTGGCCTTGACATTGAGGGAAACATTGCTCTGAGAACTATCAATAATTACGAATTGAATTATTTTAAGCCCAGTCAATTTATATCCGATGACGAGTTTGCGAAGTCGAAAATTGACTTAGACAAGAAGCATACCGAGCAGAAACAATCTCATTGATTTTTATACCACACGCTTCTATCTCCGATTTCAAATCGCTTTAATTCAAATTGCTAAGTCGAAAAATGTGTATCTGTAATTGGGACTTTACAAATCTCTGATCGTGTTTTATTTTTTAAAAAGAAAAGTAACCGATAGGTTTTCTTAAGGTTTTCTATAGAATTTCCTTACTCGTTTAAAACTACAGAAAATGCCATTAAAATGTTTTGTGCAGTTGTTCTTGAAAAAATAAAATAAAGCCGGAGATTTGTGAACATTCCTGTGTGTACATGTATTTTTCGAATTAAGCCACCGAGATAAATAGCTCTACTCTAAATCGCTCGGAATTGGAACAATAACAATGACCATTTGTCTCTCGGAGAAATTAAAGCCAACAGGAAATCTGTAACATCACATGCCTAAGTAAATGTACATGATTTCCTGGATGCAATGGCAAAACTTTGCACAAAGAAGTCTGATATCTACATGTATTAGTGAGAATTAAATTATATTCTGCTCTTTTCTTCTTGAAATGTGGGTTACGTTCGGTGGCGAATCGTGAATAATTGACTATCGATATTTTTCCATCTGAATTTATGGTAACGAATCGATTATTAAGGTCTTCATCGCAAACAACCTGATAATCGACCCATTTCCAAAGCTTTAGGTGGCTGGTCAATCGATTCATAGCAAAGCCCAAACTTGCTACATCTGGCTACACCCGTACATTTACTGACCTAGTGAAAACGAATAAGGCCTAGCCGTTTCATGAACACTTCAGGAGAAAAAATTCCTCAGAGCAAAACGCCTTCAGCTCCGTGCGTATGCAACACGGACATCCATAGAGCCCGAATAGTTGCATCCATACTTAATGATGAGATTTGTTATGTTTTCGTCGCATTTGACACTTACTAAGGTGAATGACGCTTTGAATGATAGTTTTAAAACATCAAAATACCACCTTTTGATCTTGTCTCCTCCTCCCTTATGGCCTCCAACTTTAAACCAATTTTTTTATTTCCGGAGGAAATGAGTCAAACGTTACCTAATGACCTAAAGTATCATTAGATCCGACCAAAAGTTATGCTTATTTGTTTTCACTCCTTTTTACTGGAGTCAGAAACTAAATAGTCATATAACTCTTAAACAAGAATGTCGGGAAAATTGTAGCTGATCATAACTTCGTCAATGATTATTATGTATCCAACGCTGTGAGTTTAACGCAAATTCAATATGATTTAAGGACTCTGACATGTTCTAATCTATTACTAACGTCAAAACCGAAAACAACTTTACGAACTAAGGAACGCGACATTTGGAGTTTTATCTATGATGGCACACTCTACAGGCATTGTGCGCCTTTTAGATTTTACGACAGGATATAAAAAATCGACGAATTTTAAATTCAGCGCATGAGTTGCATTCTTCTTCTCACAAATGACATCGCCTAGATTAAGTTGGGCTCTTGGAATACTCGATGAGATCATAGTTCGATCTTTTGTAAACACTAATTAGCCCCTACCGACGTCGGTGCGACCTACATTCCAAAACTAGGCATTAACCTCTGTGAGTCGGTGACATATTTTGATTCTTAATTAGAATACTCTAGATATTTAGTTGCTGATTTTTTCATCTTACGATGATAGGAATTAGTCGTGCCGCCGGTGTTTATGAGCGACTCACTTTAAATCAATTGAAAACTTTGGTGATAAATCGGAAGGAATGATGTCCCTAAGTTGGCCTAGGCAAATAGACCTAAAAGATTATCATAACATATAAAAAGATGAGACTTAGAAGATCGGAAGTGTCCGATCAATTACGTGTCATCAACTCGATTTTGAAGCAAAGCAGTAATTTTTTGCGGTAAATTAGTGTCATCATTGTTGAGAGTGGTCTCTAGTGTTTACACAAATTTAATATTAAGGTCAACTATTGCTGTTTCAGCGAATTCTAGAAAAGCGATTGGAAAAAAATGTGTGGCCACGATTGGCTACACGGTTAGGCAGACTTTTTGCTAGACAGAGTTAGGAGTTTCAAAAATGTAATCGAATCGTCCACCTACCCAAGTAGCAAAATAGAATTTTTTTCTAGAGAAAAAATATCGAGAAAATCTTTAGAAAAAACAAAGAAAATTAGAATTATCCAGAAAATAAAAAGAAAAAACATTGCGAGTCAAAAGTCTGACCAAAGAAAATAGATCTATTTCGTAGGTCTACTTTCTGTCAACTTCCCACTTGGAAAAAAGATAGAAAATTTATTGAAAGTAGAATTATTTTCTAGCCAATTTCTTAATGTTTTCTTTTAAGAAAATGCAAGGAAAAAATGTATTTTCTTTCTATTTTCTTGTATCTATTTTCTAGATCTACTTTATACCTATTTTCTTTCAAGAAAATTGTTCTATCTAGAAAGTAGACATTTTCTTGATGAGCGCCACCTAGAAAGTAGATGACAATGCTACTTGGGTAAGGGGCAGAAACAAAGAGCAATTTTACAATCACCTCCCTACGAGCAAACTCTGTAATTGTAATTTGGTGCCCACTTTTTTTTGGTCAAAATTTTGGAGTGAATTTCATTTTCAGTCATTTACCCGGTTGAGTGAGGCTATGTGTAATGATGAAGAAGGGAAGGTTAAATGAAATTACCTATCGATACATACCTGAATTTTTATTTTACATGAGGTGAAAGCTCATGATATTTTATGAACAATCTCACTTGCAGACACCAGTATTTTCCTTGATTTCAAATTTGACTTCACCGTATTAATATTACAACTTAAATTTCTCGTTTTGGGAACTAAATAGAAAACCACGATTCTCTCGGTGTTTTGACGAATTTAAGATGTTCTAAATTATAACATAAATAACAAAATAAAATCAGAGAAATAATCACCACCAACACTTTAAAATTATTTAATTCCGTTCGCCACTTTTTCTAAGCTAACACAGTGTTGCAGATAAGTAGCAACTCAGTGAGCACGTACAAAGAAGAAAACCTTATCTCTGACGAAAAAGAAAAGCCGTATGGGGGATTGATGCAATCATACCGCTTATTTAGCTTAATTGGACGCATTTCTGTCAAACGGAACTGTGTGCATTACGACGTAAGTCCTGTTATGCATGTATTCTTACGGGTCTCATGGTTCATGTCTTAATGCTCATAGTTCTGTTTGATAGAAATACGTCCGATTGCATCAATGGAGTCGCCTTTTCGTGAGAGAAAAAAAATCCTACTATACATGTGGGCACCGGAATTTTGTAGAATGTAATCGTAAAAAATAATTAACTGCAAATTGATTGTTATCACTGCAATATGCTGAAGCAGAAGTGTTTTTGCATTAGTCAGCCACTCTGTCGTAATAGCGAAGAAAGCAGTAAGTGGATGCTGGGATGAACCTCGAGACACATAAAGGCATGAGCTAACCATGGCTCATACAGCAATGCACTTATTGCTCTCTTCTTTATCACGGCAGCACTTGGAATCACGACTTTTGAACTACAAGCACTCCAAGGTTAGCATTCCTCATTTTGCTGCTAAAATGCCTGTGCGTATCGCCCAAGTATCATTTTTGTTCAATGTCACTGATACACTATTATATCATTTCAATTTCATTGGAAGTAGCTCACCTAATAGAAAAAATTACAAGAAATTCACTACTCTATTGGGATTAGTAGTTGTGCTAGCATTTAGTCCATCCTACAAATTCAAGGCGCTAAAATTATCAGAACTTCATGGAGATAAACTTGCAATTACTAGAGTGTTGCGTGTCACTTCTCTTCTCGGTTCTGGGCGCAAGAATCGCCTTTAATAAACGAATTGAACGAGATGTTGACTGATTATTTCAATAGCACGGCCATTTGAGTGACATTATCCCAATAAATTTAAACTTTTTCGCGAGTTTCCCATGAAAACCTTTACTTTGGCGGTTGTGATGAATGAGTTGCAGAGCTCCACAGTTCGTGTCGGTGAGGATGTGAACCAGCGTACTAAGGTTCAATGGTTTTGTCTATCAACACCATCCTTGTCCAAAGTCATAAAAAAAAACTCTCTCCGCTCCTTTTACACTACTTATGGATTTAATTTGGAGATTTTTAACGTGTCGATCGTGTTTTGTACAAAGTTCACAGCACAAAGTTCATAAAGCAAAACAATTTGAGAAAAAAACATTTTTTCACGACTTTGGGTGGAATTTTAATAAAATAACACCACACTGCTGCTATGCTGAGGAAAAACTTCGTATGAACCTTCATGCGTTGCTGAGGTTCCTTTGATAAAATACGAATGTCCTAGTGAACTTATGAATCTTTGTCTATTTTGATAATTTTTCTCGAAGTTTCACCTAATGGTCCTGAAACTTATAAGATAAAATATTTCCCTGTAAAAATTGGCGATAGGAGCTGCGTTTCAAAATACCATAGGAGTTCTTATAGCCGACTAAAGAAGGCTATTGAAAACCCGGTAGCTGGCTGTGCGGAAGCGGAGCAAATCATATAGCCGGGCTATACGAAGCTATAAAAAAGTATACAGTCGGGCTATAGTTCCTATCGCCGGGCTTTACACTTTATCACCATTGGCTATAAAAGGCTATAAGAAATTGTGTAGAAATTCGTGTGCTTTGGAAATCATTAAGTTTGATACGGAACTCCGTTTATATTTACAAAACACACATTATATTTTCCTTTAGAACATTTTTTTTTTCATCAATTAAAATGAGAATAGTCCATACAGAGTGTACAAACATTTCAAAATCATGAGTTGAAAAACGCTGACTCCGCGAGATTAAATATTAGAGCCTAACACAAAGCGGAGCGGCGACGCACTGGCGCCTAAAAACCTAACAGGGATACTTCACGCATTGCGCAATGCGTGAAGTATCCCTGTTAGGTTTGTAGGCGCCAATGCGCGTTTCGCACTCTCTGCCCGCCTGCTCGTGCTCCTGAGCCGCCGCTCAAATTGCCGTCCCATTTTATTGAAGGCAAATTGAACGGAACGAAAGACGCGCTAAAAGGAGAAGAATCGACATCAACATGCTCCCTTTGCCGGAACAGAGCGAAGGTGACAAAACTACCGCACGCAACTATTCGAGCTCCTAAGTCGCTCAAATTGCCATCACGCTTATTGAAGGCAAACTCGTGACAAAATGAGAGACAAGCAGTAAAAAGAAGACTCAAGGTGTGTCCCTTTCCCGGGTGCTCACCTCGGATATTGAATGTCATGTACCGAAGTGCGTAACTTCTCTCACTATCTCGTGTTAACTTAACTCTTCAATTTTTTAGTCAGAAAACGCCAAATGGCTTATCCGCATTTGAAGTTACACTTGAAAGTGCTCGCTCCTTAAATCAATTAGATGAGGTTTCTTGATAGGCTCCTTGCTTCAGTTAATGTTTTTTACGTTTTTTTATATTTTTTCAGAGGTGTCATTTCACCAGGGCAATGGAGCGATTGCTGCACCCTCTTAAATTTTAGAGCTGACCTTTCATTACGGGAATTTTGATCAATTCCAGAGCATTTTTCGAGATTTTCATAAGGTCTCCTCCCTAAGCTTTACCTGAATTGACGCCTATGAATTTGTTACCTAACGGTAGGGTCGTTCTTGATGTGAAAGATTCGATTCCTTGAATGTTAAATGGACTTCATTTTGCCATGAGGAGTACCTGGAAATTCTGGAGGAATTTATGGATCATTTTAGAAACAGCGTATGTGTTCCAAAGTGCCTCCAGCTTCCAAAATGTAAGGAATTTTGGATTTTGCTCAGGACCTTTAAAATTTTACAATAAGGAACTTCTAGAAACTCTGGCGTATTCCACAGACACCAAATCGATAGCTAAAGAGAAACGTATACGCCAAAACGTATCTCTATGGCGGTGTTTCAAAATTTCCACTCCTATTTTATTTTTTCAAAAAGAAAAAAAAAACAATTTTATGGCTTGAAATTTTTACGGAGTATTCTGTTAAGGGAGAAAAGAAATCGAGGAGTTCGTCAAGCTATTGCGTTGCCTAGTTTTCCTCAGAAAAAATAAAGGAAGATAGGAAGTTTTCAACGTCGTATACGGAGGTACGTGGTTTCGAACTCTAGCCATCGACATGTGCATTGTGCCTGCCATGCTACCGACGCTGAGGATGCCAAGGATGCTAACGCCGTATAGACATTCGAGAGTTGCTAAATTTCCTTCGATAAAATGTTCATTTAGAAGACAAGTTATGAATATTTTTTCCGGAAATTTTCAGAAACTTTTGGTGAAATTGCAAACAGAATCATCCGAAAAATTAAAATAAAATAAAATAAAAGGAAAATATTTTTTTATGTTCACCAGGAAATTTGTGTTTTATCAAAGTATATTTGGCAACGCCTGAAGATTCATACGGCATTTTTCCTTGGCACGGCAGCATTAGTCTCCCCATCAGTGGCGAGGCGCGAATGATCGATTATCGATAGTTTTCCATTTGAGCTGTGGTAAAGAATCGATAATTAGGGTGTAATAATCGATCATTTTCCATAGGTTTAAATGGTAGATCAATCGATATATCGCAAAGCATGCCACGCTACTGCTCCCCATTCAGATCGGTGCCTCCATGGACGAGCCAGGAATGAGACACCTTGTCCCGAAATGTAATCAAAATCACCCCCGGGCGGCAACCGTGCGATCTCCGGCAAGGGGCAGTGACTAGCCCTCCTCTCCGGCCGAGGGGCGGGTAGGGGGGAGGGGGCTAAAGCAGATTTAATACACGCCTGAACAAATACACGAGTGCAAGTCGCTATTCCAGGGGCGGGGGCACCGAGAAGAGGGGGAGGAGTCGCAAACACCTGTTCGCACTCCCAAAATCCAAGACGGCAATTGCGATGCGACGCGCTCATCAATCATAAGGCCCCGCGACAACCCCGCCGCCGCGCTAAGCAAGAACGCCGTATCAACATTCCAGAGTTGCCAAATTTCCTCCGATAAAACGTTGATTTTTGAGAAAAGTTATCTATATTTTTCCTTGAAATTTTCAGACAATTAAGATCAAATTACGAAGGAAATTCCCTGAAAAATCGCGAGAGAAATGGCGATAAATATTCTCAAAAATTCGTGATATATCAACGGAAATTTGGCAACGCCTAAAGGTTCATACGACGTTCTTCCTTAGCGCGGCAGCCTGGCCCTGGCCGCGCAGTGGTCGCCACCGTGGCTAAACGTCTGAATCAACTATCGAGGGTCCCGGTTCGATCCCGAGTGGAACACCTCGATTTTTCCATGATCCCTCAGCTGCGCAACACACTATCTCTTCAGGGCTCATCTGAAAAACCGACATAATCCCTTTTCGAAACACTCGCGGTCACCCTCCGTCGCAGAAAGGGGACAATCCGTGTTTTGAATGATCCCTGGGCTGCGTAATAATACTAGCGTACCGGGGCTCATCTTACTATGAGGATGCTCCGTGCTCTTTTCGTCGGGCCAACTCGCGTAACTCCATTTGAGAAGCGCGGGTAGATGCGCTGTTTTAAATTGGGCAAGCTCCCCTTTGACGCGGTGTACCCGGTGTGTGTCGAATGATCGGGACCTTAATGGAGCTTTTTGGCCGACCCGCCGATCGGATATTAATGTGTCAACCGCACATTTTGCGGCGAGATCCAACTATTGTGAATCAGCAGGTCGATTGTCGGGTTCCTTTCGCTAAGGGTGGTTTCGGATCGACCTAAGACTAAGCGTTTCCTCGTGCAGGCTGTTCGACTTCATTTAAACGAGCGAATCAAAAATCGCTCTCGGGGATTTGAAATTTTTAATTTTAGCAGCATGAGTATCTTTCTTGGTACATAGTTGATGATACCTGTGAGAACACGCCGATGAATACCAGTGCCTGGATTATCGAATTTCTATCGAATGGCCTCAGTCGATGAATTACATTGCTAGGATAAGGATTTACGGATCGAGGTCACGATGTCATTCGATATATCGATTCAGCGATCGACTCGCTGGATGAGGAGGCATTCCTACCGCTCCAACGCA